CCCTGAGTGAGCTCCCTTGGTCACCCCCCTTTCAGGCTATGCCCCGGACATCACGAGTAGTGGTGAGCAGAGCCCAGGACCAATGTTGCCCCAGGATTCTCACTCGACGACCCCTGCCAGGGTCCCAACTCTAGTGGCCACCTAGATCTCCTCTGAAATGACCAGACTGTGACCTGGGGAAGGCAGGATCTCTGCTGAGCCCTGTACATGACCCACACGTTTATTGACTATGTGAAGGATCTGCAGTGTCCTGAGAATGGAGGCTGTGGCTGGGCAGAGCCCTAAATTATTGCCTTCAATCTCAGGGAAGGCCCAGCATCAATGCCCCCTCCCCCACGCTGAACTCCAGGAATGGCCCCACTCCTCCTCCACCCTCCAGCCTCACCCTGACTCCACAGCACTGAAGGAACTGTGTTTGGCTCTGATTGACAGAGGGTTCCTGGGGACTCTTGAGGCCTGGCCTTGTCTAGCATGGGGTGGGCATCAGGAGAGAATAGAGGGGCGTTTGCTGAGTCACTGCCCCCAAAGCCTCCCTGTTCATGTACTCTCTGCGGCTCTCAGGAACCTCTCAAAGGGTCCCCCTAGATAGGGGTGGGGGGCAGACAGAGAACAGACAAGGTGAGTCGGGGCTGGTCTTTATTTGAGTTTGGGCATAATACGAATGAAGAGGATCATGCTAATGAAGATGAAGCAGACGACGATAAGCATGGCCCAGAGCAGCCAGTTGACTGACTTCTGCGTGTGCTGCTCCAGCCGTTCTGACTCTGTCTTCAGCTTCTCTAGGTTCTGGTCAGCCATCCTGAGTGAGTGCGACAGGGTCTGTGGGTGAGGAGGGGAGGGTGTCAACAGGACTGGGGTCAAGCCAGGCCTCTTCTTACTGCCCTGGGGCAGGCCGGCACCTCTTGGCCCTTGCTGGTGCTGTGCCTTCTGCTGGAAATGCCATCTTTGCTTTCTACCAAACTCCTATTCATCCACTAAAACCTCAGCCACAATGCCCCTCTGCTAGGAAGCCTTATCTGATGCCCCAGGGCAGACTGGAGAGTTCCCAGAGTCCCCACACCTGATTGTCCTTCTTGATGACGCTCTGAGCAGCCAGCGTGTTGGTCTTGAGGCTCCGGGCCAGGCCTAGCATCTCCTCTGCCAGCTTTTCCTGGAGGTCTTGATGTTGCTGCAGAACGAGGTCTAACTCGGCTGCCGACTGCTTCTCGTCTGCTGGCCTGGGCCCTCCCATCCCACTGATCCCACACATGGGTGGACAGGAGGGGATGAGAGATGCAGTGGGGGAGGGAAAGAGGCCAACACATTCCTAAGGAACCTAGAGGTCATGGCTCCAGTCACTGCCCTGCTTGAGGGGGCTCGGTTTCCCCTTCTCTGCTTTTGCTTCTGGGAAGAGCATCCCCAGAAATGGCTTCAGATTAGTGGTTTAGACCCTTGTGGTGTCACTACAGTGGCCCATGGTTTGTCCAGCACTGCCCCCCCCAACCAGCCTCCCCTGTCGCTCAAGGACTACAGACACTCACATTCTCTTCCTCACATCCAGCTCAGGCTCTGAAAGCGAAAGAGGCCAAGCAGGGAAAAAGAGAGAATTGGTTTCCTGTTTCCAGCCTCCCAAATTGCCTGTGCTGTGTCTGCTACTCAGAATGTCATTTCCCCAATTTGTCTACTGTCTAGTGGGTTCCTGAGCATGCTTCAAAGCTCTACATTGAACACCGCCTCTCCTAGGAAGCTTTTCCTACTCCTATCTGGGCTCCCCAAAGCCCCAACTCCCGCTGTCTTGCCTAGCCTTAGCTCCATGGACTGGAGTACCCAGTTCTATCACCTCTGAGGGCCACCTCCTCTTTCCCAGCTCTGCCTCCAGGCATAATTCTGTGATGCCTCCTGGGTGACACTCTCCCTGAACTAGGGAAGACCCTGTGGGAGCCAGGCTGGACATGAGGGATGTGGGGCAGAAGGGATACATGTCTTGTCCCAGGCAACTGGCTCTCAAGTCCTGTTCTGTTCAGGGTGACTCACCTCCAGCTGAATCCTGTGGGAAGAAGGGAGAGGCATGAAGTCACCTACCTTGTCCTGTCCCCAAACCTGTCCCTTCTGCTCTCAGAACCTCCTCACCCTTAATCAGGGCCCCGGGAAAATTCTGTGACAGCTGAGCCTCAGTTTCCTCATCTATAAACTGATAAGGACAACAGCTCATATTGTGAGGGACTGAGATGATCCACGTAAAGGGCTCAGAAAGGCACTTGTTCTATTTCATGGATGGGGAAACTTACTCATCTTGTGGCAAGTGGCAAGCCAGGAACCAAACTGTGTTCTGGGGCCAACTCTGGGGAATAGCCAGACATGTACTATTTTTGCTTTATGCCGAACTCCTATTCATCCAGTAAAGTCCTGACCACAATGCTCTTCTGTTGGGAGGTCTTGTCTGATGGCCCAAAGCAGAGGCTGTTGGGCCCCTTAGGATCCCTGTACCTGACAGTATTGTAGTTCTGGCCTCTCCCTACTCCCCCAGCATTGAACCCTGTTCCTGCACAAGGGGTTCCTAGGGACCAGGGAGCCCTACCTTGCCTAAGAGCTCACGCCGCATCTCGCTGGTGTATCGCGCCCGTGACTGCAGATGCACGGTTTTCGTGGCTGGTATTCGCTCTCTAGCTGTTGTCGGCACCCGGCCAGGGGCCAGGAACTGGTTGGCTAGTGCCTTCTCAGCAGAGGAGGTCTGCAGAAAAGTGGGGAGAGGGGTCACCGGAAGGGTGGGTCCTGGAGACCCAAGATGAGCATGATGGGGGTTGAGAAGGCAGAGGCGCCCTTGCTCACTAGCTTCTCTGCCTGCAGCATCCCCTTCAGAAAATCCACCTTGCGGGAATATTCATTGATCACTTCAGAGGCCGGTTTGCTGGAAGAAAAGAAGAGGCGAAAAAAAAACCCTGCCCATTGTCCCCAGCTCAGGAAAGGGTCCCAGCTGGGACTGGAGTCGAGGAGGCCTCAACAGAAACCCCACACCCTGGATTTGAAAACCCTGCAGCCACCTGCACTCACCTAGCTTGGGCCTTCAGGGCTTGCAGCATGTCCTCCAGGGCCCCCACGTACTGAGGAAGGAAAGCAGGCGGTCATCCCTGTCCCTCCCAGGTCCTGCTCACAAGAGTCAGAGCAAGGGAGGGGGCGGGGGCAGGACGGGACGGGGCGGGGCTGGCAAAGGAGAGGCAAGTGGAAAGGAGGCGGGGACAGCAGGGAGGGGCGGAGCACCAGGGACGGGGGCGGAAACTGCAGGTGAACGTGGCGGCAATGACCGGAAGGGGCGTGGCCAGTGAGCTATGGCGTGGGGGTTTCGGGCCGAGTGGCCTCTATCCCCGGGAACCACCCTCCGGGAGCCAGGCTCTCCCCGGCAGCGCGGGACCCCCTCACCTTCTCCAGACGCCACTCGTCTGGGTCCCGCTTCTCTGATGCCATAGCCTCGCAGCGGCACAGCAGGCGCACCAGGTTCAGCTCCAGCCTCGATGCCGCCATCATCGCTGCATGCTACCCCACCGCTTCCGCCGGCGCCATCTTAAGGGAGGGCGGAAGTGCCTTCGTCTGGCCTTCTTCCGGTCGGACGCGCCTCCTTCCCCGTGTTCGCCGGCCCATGGTAGTTTGGGGCGGAAGTAGTAGCTTGTTTGAAAAAGAGGCGCCATCCTGCTCATGTGGGAGCAAGCGATAAATCGCTTGCTTTTCCTAGCGGAAGTCTTAACCCTTCGTAAGGGGTTGCAAGGTCTGGGTCCTGTGGTGTCAGACCCATGTGCAGCGCGTCCTCTGCTTATTCCGTTTGCTCAAAACTCGCACTCACTCTTTCTTGGATTCTCCCCACGCTGAGCTCTTTCACATGCAGGCAGCCTTCCCTGATTTCTCTTGGGGAGAGGTCCTGACCTGGGACTTAGGAGTCCAAGTCCCGATCTTTTATTCCCCCACCCTGATTTTATTTGTCAGAGAGGCTCGTCCATACTTCTGTGGTTATGAGCTTCTGGGTCCCACCTCTGACTCACTCCACCCTGGGCTGTGGCCTTGAACGAGTTTCTTAGCTTTTCGGGGCTTGTCTCCTCCTCTGGGAAATGGACAGTTTGACAGTGCCTGCCTCAAGGGAGACACGAGCCAGCCTGGGAGGGAGAGGTGGGGCCAGGTCACCCGTAACGCCTAAATCCCAGCTCACTTGGGTCCCCAGGAAGCCGAGGTCCCCCCAGGCCTGCAGATCCACTCTTCTGGAGTGGACAGGGTGAGAGTAGGGATTTCACATGGACCAGGGCCTGTCATGCAGCCTTTATCTACCTCCACACCCCTCAAGTCACCTGTGCCTTGATCACACCAGTGGGCCTGGTGTCGTTGCAAAATACCACAGAGGAGACCAAACCCAGGGCCCATAAAGGGGACCTCTAGAGGCTGACAGGGAAGAGTCGGAATCCCAGCCCTACCCCTTCCTTCCCAGCTGTGTGGTCTTGGACAAGACCCCCAACCTATCCGGCAGGTGTGGACTTGGGTTCCTCATGGTTCCCAACTCCACCTGCCAAACAGTTCCCACAAGTGCCCGTGGCATTGCAGCCTGGGAGCGCATCTGTAGGGTGTTTGCTCCTGACTCTTGGGCCCACCAGGAACCGGCTCCTCTGCAGGGCATGTGGCTGCTGCAGCTGACACCTGAGCCCCAGCTGGGCAGAGGCTGGGTGCTGGAGCAGGGAGATAGGAGATGGCTCCCAGGACAGTAGGCTCTCCCCACTGAATGAGGCTCTTCTGGGGGCTCCTTGCTCCCCCAGCTTTCCCCGTCAATAAACAGGCACCTCCAGCAAGCCCATCTCCCTTGTATGAAGAGTCCATGTGAAATTCCAACAGCAGCATTTGCTAGAGGATCAAGGCAGGTCCTCCCAGACCAGGGGTGCAACCCTTGCCCTGGATCCCTTTTGGCTGAGGCTGCAGGGCCAATGCCCACCCACCAGCCCTGCTCTTCCAACCTGAAACCAGTCGGAACAGGAATTCCATGCAAACACTTCTCAGGCACTTTTTATTTCACACGTTGTGCGGGTGCACCCATCATTCCAGACCTGCGACCATGAGTCCAAGTGTCTGGGGAGTGGGCTGAGCCTGAGAGACAAGAACCCCACTCTGGAGATCACCAGGCTGTCACTGTTGACCTATAGGTACATACAAGTTCAAGGTTGCCCTCCCCGCCTGTGAACAGTCCTGAGTCACTGGCTCCTGTTCTGTCACACAGGGCGGGTAGTGCCAAGGGTGGTGTCCTCCAGCCCTCAGCGTCCAGGGCACTGTGGACAGAAGAGTGATGACCACACTGAGGTCTCCCTGGAACGCTGCAAGGTCTGTGCTGACTCGGGGTGGAGGCTGTCCCGACTCATGTCCTGGCTCTAGCCAACAGCCTCGACCCCCCATGGAAGGCTCCAATGCTGTCTGCAATGCACCTCAGTCAGGTGGCTGCCTGCTGGAGACACGCGTTGGAGACAGGCTTGGGTGGTCAGGTGCCCCACGTGTCCAAAGCCCTTGTGCAGGGTCCCAGCCTGCTGACTGCCCTCCAAGTAGACTGCAGTCTGAGCTTCAGAAGCCCGGTGGCCGAGCAGCCTCAACCCTGACGGCTCATGTCCAGATTACAAGGGAGACGCACAGCGTTAATGTAAAAGTTTGTACATACACGTATAAAAAACAATTTGGTCTTCTGTTAAGGCTGTTACAGTTTAAAGTTATGTAAACCACGTACAAAGAGAGCTACTGTAAAAACGTACAAAAGGGGAGGGGGGGCGCAAAGCCGCCTGCTGCGATTTGGCTCCGGGCAGGCGTGTCAGTGACTTGGGGCTGGGCAGCAGGATGGCCTGGCCCCAGCCAGCCTCTCCCTGCCTTGACTTTGTGCTTGGAGCCGGTGCCCACCCAACATCACTCTTGAAGCTTTTCATTGTGGATCCTTTGAGAGCTGAATGCCAGCTCTGCAGCTCCGGCGCCCAGCTCCAGCTCAGGCTGTCCTTGGACATGTAGACTGTGCCAGCCATGGGCTCTCAGCTGTTGGCCTGGCCCGAAGCTGGGGGCAGGCAGTATGTTGGGGGGTCCGAGTACCTCCGCTTGGCCCCAGGCAGCTGGTCATCCTCGTCTAGGGGCTCCAGAGTGCCCCGCACAGGCAGGTCTGCCCCGGGTGTGACGTACACGGAGTGTACCTGGTCCGGGCGGCGGGCAGGCGGCTCTCGGCGCCTCACTGGGGCAGCGGCCTCCTGGACTCTGGGTCCCCGGCCAGCCAGGTGGGAGGGCAGGCCAGGTGGGAGCTTGATGTTGGCTGTGGGCATGATGGGGGTCCGCCGGGGGGTCTTCACTCTGACCGTTATGAAGGAGGACGGCCTTCGTCGTGGAGGTGCAGCAACCCTGGGGAGGGGGCTCGGGGTGGGTGCGCCGGGGTAGGGGAGAGCAGGTGCGGGGGGCCCTTTTGAGAGACAGACGGCAGGGTTACTGCAGCTTTGGGGAAGCAAATGGACCCTTGTCCCAGGGCCTGCCGGGGGTGGACGGGAAGGAGAAAAGCAGACGCTACCTTAATACTGACCTTCCAAGGCCCCCCGCCCAGCCCGCTCCTCCAGCAGGCTCTCAGTGCTGGCCGAAGTCTCTGAGTCCACATTCTCCTCGTCAGAGCCCCGAGGGTCCAGCTCCGGCAGCCGATAGGTGATGTCCTCCCTGGGGGAGAGAGAATCAGGTGTCTGAGGCCACCCCTATGGTGAAAGATCACCCCATGGAAAGTGCCAGGCCGGCACAGAACAGAGCAGCTAAAAGTGACTTCCTGTCCCCAACCTACCCCCTCCCCAAGCACACCTGGCCTGAAACACCCCTGGCCCTCTGAAGCTCATCAGAGGGTGTCAAACTGCTTCGGGAAGCCTGGGCATCTGGGCCTACATGGAGCTAGTGATGTGCTCCCACCCGAGGGCCTTTGCACATGCTGTTCCCTCTGCCTGGAACACCCTCCCCTGGTCCTGAGACTAAGAGACACACCACTTCTTGTGGCATTAATTTTTTTGATGGCTGGCTGGTACAGGAACCCAAACCCTTGACCTTGGTGTTACAACACCACTGACCAGCAGAGCTAACCGGCCAGGCTTCCTGCATTCATTTTTAACAGCACCACCTTTCACACTCACACCTTCACTGGATGATAAATTCGTCAGTCATCCTTGCTAAGACTGACTTCAAGACCAAGTTGGGCATCACCTCTCTGTCACCCCCCTTTCCCTGTGGGCCACTGTGGTCCCCTGGGGGAAAGCATGGGGTTTAAACAGAGCCTGCTATAGCATTCATGGTCAAGTTTCAGGACAGCAGTGTCCCACGAGGTGAATATTGTCTGCCTGTCTTAGGGACGATGGGACTGAGCCCAGTGAGACCAAGCTGACCACCAGGGATTGAACCTGCTCAGTGGCCTCCTAATCCCATGCCCTTTACTGCCCAAGGTGCCAGTGGATGGGGGATGGACAGTGGAACCCAGGGAGAAAAGGGGACAAAGGGACACTTGCTTCTCCTCCTTGATAGATTGGATCCGCTCAATGAGGATCTCCTTCTCTCGGTCCTCATCGCCGCCGGCTGCCTCCTCCTCCGGCAGTACCTCCAGTTCCTCCAGGCTGCCATCCTGGCTCCCCCGGGCTTTGGGGCTCTTGTTCTGGAACACAAAAGCTGCAGGTCTGACTGGTGCCTGCAGGTGGGTGCAGGTTAGTGCTGGTGGCTGGTGTAAGGTTGGGGAGTTATGAGCAGCTCCTGGGGAGGTTAGTTCTGTGCACGTGCTGGGTTTTTAGTGAGACTTCTCCAGGAATGCTGCAGGGACAGAGTGGCTGGCACTTGGCTGATGGGTCGTCCTCAGCACAGACGGTGAGCAGGCAAGGGACCTCCCCCAGCATGCACTTCCAAAAGGTTAGGACATGCTCAGTCTATCCTACGGGAACCCCAGCATGCACTGCACCAGGGGACATGCACTGTGGGCCCACCGAACATGTACATACCAGGACCCCCTCATAGGGAGATGAAAACCCCAGTTTGAGAGGCCAGGGCTGGGGGAGAGATGAACACAGGGTGAACACATAGGTCTTGACGCAGGTGTTGAGTTGGGGGCACATCTGACAGCCAGCACGAGAACAGGGGTTTCCTGGTTCCCACAGGAGCCCAGGACCCACTCACTCTCCACTCACACCCCCTACCCGCTTTGCTATGGGAACATTTCCCTGTGGGTGGGGCCCAAGTCAGCAAGGGTGGAAGCTGAATCGATGACTTGAACCACCACCAAGTGAGTGATGGGTCCAAAGTTGAGTGTGGACCTTGGTCTTTTGATCAAGGCAGGAAATCTGCTTTTACCTGTGAGGATGCAAGGTCCCAGGCCAGTCTGCCTGTCGCTATGGCGTGCTGGGAGTGGGCATGAGCCCAGGGGAAGGGAGACCAGCCCCACTCCCCACGAGACCACACCCAACTCCTGCCACTGGATGTCCCACCCACCTGCAGGCCCCTCCCACCCCAGGCCCCAAGGCTCCTCTCACACGAGACCCCGCCCATCTACAAGACCACGCCCCCGCTGCCCTGGAAGCTCACAGCATTTTGTCGCAGGAGTGACAGCCTGCGGAAGGCGATGCTCTCTGCGGCCTCTAGCTGATTGATCTCTTCCATCTTGACTCTGTACTTCCTCATCTGCTCCTTGATCAGCATCTCCACGCACCTGTGGAGAAGGCCCACGGGAGGGGCGATTCGGTTACTTCCTGGGAGGGAGGTGCTGGCTGGAGACCAGGGCAGGCGGCAGCTGGAGCGGAGAGCCCCAGAGACCAGGCAGAGCCTTGGACTCAGCTGTGGTCCCTGGCTCCCGTGCTGTGTGACCTCTGGCAGCTTACTTCCGAGCCTGAGTCCCCTACCTCTGTAAGCCTCCTCGTTTGAGGAGGAAGTACATCGTGGTGGGTCACAGTGGACTGAAGCCTGTCACCAGCGGGTGGGGGTTATTCTGCCTCCCAGAGAAGTCCGAGCTGCAGGGAGGCTGGGTAGTTTGTCCAAGGGCCAGCAGGCAGCCAGCCCCGAGTGCTCCAGAACATGTGCTCTGACCCATGGCCAGCCCAGAGTGGTCAGTTCCAGGAGGAGGTGGAGGGGAGATAGGAAGTCAGACTGGGCTGAGAGGTGGTCCTGACTGAGGTGTCCCATGACCCTGACCACGTAAGGAAAAACCCAAAAAGTCTGCCAGAAGAGACTGGATGCAGATCTGTCACCACACCAGCTGGGTGGTGTCAGGGCCTCCTGCTCCTTACTGCCTGTCACTCTTAATAGCGATGAGCATGGCCTGGGAGACCCACTGTCAGGCGGTCCTCTTAGACCCTCTTCATGTTTGCCTTGGGAAGCCACCTAGGGTGATAGGCTCTTATTTTCACAACTCTAGCCTAAAAAAGGCCTCTAATTATTGATGTCTGACCATCTTCTGAGTTCTTTCTTGTGAAGAACTTTCAGAGAACACTCCAGGGGAAAAAGAAACCTCTAGAAGATCGTTTGTTTACCAGGGAGTGGAAAACTTGGGTTTTAATGTCTGCCTCTCCCCCTGCAATGAAGGATGAGGGATTCCTCCTTTTCTGTTTTCTCAGTCTCAAAAAAACTCAGAAGTAATACCCTCCCTGCTTGAGGAGAGACGCAAGGTCGTGTCTTTGCCTAGGTCTGGAGGTGCGTGAGCCCTGCCACCTGTGGTGCCACCTGCAGGGGGCAGCTGCTCACAGGGAGAGGAGCCCCGACTGGCCACCCATCCTGCATCCAGCCTTTGTTAAAACTCCCATTTTAGAACAAAAATAGTGTGCTCATCAGGGCACGTTCGGAACAAATGGAGGGTAAAGACACCAAACGAGGCTTACTTATTACCCCAGTCCCGCCAACTTCCAGGGCCATTGCCAGCTGCGTACTGTCTTCCAGACTTTGTTTTGGTGGCTAGCTGGGATGCAGATCCAAACCCTGGACCTTGGAGTTATCAGCATTGCTCTAACACACTGAGCTAACCAGCCAGCCTGACACACAGTTACATACAGCTGGGAAGGAGCCGGCGTACATTCTCGACCAGATCGAGACCTGTTTCATTGTGGGACCCTGGCTGGGCTGCCCCGGACACACATCCCTGGGTGGGGCCAGCCCCGGTGACACTCACGTGGTGATCTTGAGGACATCCTTCATGCTGGCCAGCGGGTCTGAGCTGTCAGGGCAGCGCAGGAGGCAGGGTGCAAAGATGATGGCCAGTGCGCCGGGTGACATGCGGTTCACATCTTCAAGCAGGGCCACCCTGCACGGCCACCAGCAGTTAGGGAATGGCCACAGCCAAGGGAGGGAGGTCTCAGGGAGCCCCAAGGCTGGAGTTTAGGGCCTTGGGGTGGCTGCTGGGAAAGGAGCGCTGCGGCCCAGAGGTGGGAGACACTCCGTAGCATGGAGAGCTGCCACAAGGACCCGGCCAGGCTGGGCCCCCTACCCGAACCCCCATCACCGGCTGTGTCCTGGTTCAAAACCATCAGAGAATGTCAGCCCAGGTCCCACAGGGAAATGCTGCCTTGGGGGTTCCTGATGGGGACCCCAGAGGGTGGGCGGGCACATCGGGAGGCACTTGCTTGACCAGATGGAAGATGAGCCGCTCCAGGGAGTTGTGGTTGGCCTCGGGCAGGTGCTCCAGGGCGGCGTAGATGGCGGCCAGCTGCTCCTGCTTCTCCGGCAGCTCTAGGGAGGCCAAGGGTGTCAGCTCCCCGAGGGCCCCCAAGAAGACTATCACCCGATATGCCCCAGCCACCCTCCATGTGGCACTCAGCATTGGTGTGTGGCAAGAATGAAAGGCCACAGAGAGGTCCCAGCCCCACCCCAAATTGGGGACCCATGGCTTGATTGACTGCTTTGGTTTCTCAGCTGTGAGCAGGTGGTGCCACCTCCCCTGGCTGGACACAGCTCAAGGCTGTCTCCTGACCATGGCCACCCAAGGCTGGCATTGCCCGTTGCTGCCCACACTGCTGTGGCGCTCACCGACGGCACGGAGGAAGTCACCGTACTGGGCAAAGGTCATGAGGGGCTCAGGCAGCTCCCGCAGCCACTGTTTCAGCACGCCGGTGATGGCGTGGATGGGGAAGTTCTCCAGCTTGACCGCCGAGGGGTCTGCGGGGAGGGCAGGGCAGGGCTGGTATGCATCTCACAGGGTACCCACTGCCCACATCATCCACCCACCCGCAGTGCCCACCTGTCTGCAGCGCCTGCCGGAGCTCCCTCGTGCGGTTGGCGGCTCCCGACTTCCGATAGAGGCCCTCAGTGTATAGGCCGTGCATCTCTACGTGTTCCAGAAGCTTCTCCAGCACGATGGGCACCGAGGCCTTGTCGCTGGTCAGGCTATCCACGCACACGCCAAAGTGGCCTGGCTCAGCGCCTGCCTCACTCTGCAGGGTGGGGGTGGAGAGTCAGGCCTGGGCAGAGCTGTCCTCCCCGCTGCACCTCGGACTCCTCCCTCCTCCTGCCTCCTCCACGAGGACCACCTCTGTGGGCTCCATCCCTCCCTTCCCCTCAGTCCCTTGGTACGGCTTCTGGGGCTTCTGGGCTGCTGAGGTCAGCCTGATGGCCACTGGGCAGGGCTCCCTACATGGAGCACCCATGGGAATGGGGGTCCTTCCTGGGGAGAGGCCTATTCTCCAGCCACCCACAGCCCCCTCCAAGAAGTGGGTCCCGATTCCTACTGTACCCCAGCACTTGGGATCCCCACCTTCTCACACACAGAATCAGGAGGCTTCCCTCTGCCTGGCCTGAGGCTCTCCCGGAAGGAGAGATGAGCAGGGTCGGGGTCTGAGAGGCACACACATGCCCAACCCTTGCCTTGGCGGCCTCAGACACAGAACAAGGGGATGAGGGTGTGTTCTGCTGCAGAATAAGGGGTCGTGGCCCCTTCTGTCAGCTCCCTGCACCTGCCTAATGTCCTTACTTAGTCCTCAAACCAAGCATGGCCTCCCCCAGGCAGCTGGCACCCTGGGCAGTGTATTGTTTGAGAAAGTTCCAGGCCTCGCACCACTCACCTTCCTCCCGCACTTGTAGGTGCAGTAGTTCTGAATCTTGTGCACACACTTCTTGTGGCAGGTCATCTTGCACACTAGGAGGTGTGAGAGGTCACAAAAGGTGCATCAGGGACCCCATGTTCCCGGGGCTGCTCACCCCCGACCAGGGGCCCAATGACTGCCTTCTAAACTCGCATCACATGAATCCCTGCCCCAACTCCCACGAGAGGAAGCCATGTAGGCAGGTTTTCATGCTTCATGGTGACCAGTGGTGGCCTCAGACCCAGCATGTCCAGTGGGGCAGAGAGGATGGGTTTGGAGGGAACTGAGACTTGAGCCAGGAGGTGGCCCCGGGCAACTGGTGCATTACAGGGACATGAAAGATGCAGCTTTTCCCTCTTCCACCCACTCTGAACCCTGGACTCCCCAGCTGACAGCTTGGAGAGAGCAAATCAGCTATGCTAAAAAGAGGGAGACACCCTTCACCCTCCAAGCAAGGACAGAATTGGGTAGGGGTTGGGCTAAGGTTAAGTTTTCCTGGGACAGTGACAACTGTCTGGGTATTTAAATGGACGTGGGGTGGTGGGCTGCTCTTCACACAGGGACCACAGGGCAAGTGGAAACCCAGGGCCAAAAAGACCCAGGCGTGGCTGGTTCTGGCAGAAAAGTACGAGCATTAAAGGCCACCTGATCCTGCTGGGCCTCTGTGGCTGACTCGCTTGGCCACTCCCAGCTACATGACCATGGGCCAGCTTGGTCATTATGGTCCACACATATCTCAGGGTCCCATGGGGACCGACTGGCCACACCTGTCTCTCAGGATTCCTGTGGGGACCTGTTGGCTGCACCTGGCACACAGGGGAGGGATCCAAAGAGGAAATAACATTCAGGCAGTGGGAGCAGCATGTACAAAGGCCCAGAGGTGGGACACAGCATGACCTGCCCAGGTGTATGTAAAGAGGGCAGGTGCAGAGGTGGGTGGGGACCAGCCAGTGGAGGGCCTCAGGGCCAGCTAAGAATTGGGCTCTGCTGGGGGTTGTGGGGGGTGGGAGGGTGGAGCATTTGAGCAGGTGAGATGTGGCTAGGGCAGCATTCCAGGAAGATTTGCCCTGAGGCTGGGCTGAGCAGTGAGAGGTAGGGGCTGGGGTGTGGTTGTGTGTGGGTGCACTCACCACTGCACAGCAGAGCCTTGTCCATGAGCCAGATGTAGGAGAGGCACTGCTCGCAAGACTGTGGGATGCTCACCTGGTAGCTGGCAAACACATGCCCGTTGTGTTCCTGGACCTGCAGGGGTGGCAGAGGGCACTGAGGGGGCTCCAGCCCCAATGGGGGTGGGGTATTCAGCATGGACAAGGGCATTTCAGGGGGCGTCGCCCTTTCATGCCCAGGGCTCCTTATGTGCTGAGGGGACACATACACACACATGCAGATGCACACATGTAGCATACCCTGACACACGTGCACACAGGTGCACACAACCACAAACACGTAGGCGCCTACTCACAGCACGCTCCTGCTTCCGCTTCTTCTTCTGAGCTTTGCTCTGCTGCCAGGGACACAAGGAGGAGGTGTATGTGGGGATGCCTGGTCTGCTGGGTCCCCTGGGAACCCTCCCAGGTCCACCGCCACAGAGGTGTCAGCGCCCCGTGACCTCTCCCTCACCTGGAGCGGCACCCTCCACCCAAATGCCCTCCATCTGCCCTAGTTGGATACCCTGACCCAGAAGTGGAGTCCTGTGGAGTCCACCCCCACCACGGTCTGGGGGGGGGGAGGTGGGCATGGTGTGGCGGAGGTGGGCGTGGCCGGCATAGGCAGGCGTGGCTTGAAGGAACAGCCACCTACCTTTGTGGGTTCAAAGTCATTCTTGGTGTAGCCACGGGTGAACTCATCCAGCAGCGACTGGAATAGGTTGAGGACCAGGTTGGTGTCCTTCTCGCCGCGCTCAGTGGCCAGGTTGCTGACGACGATCTGGTAGTTCTCCATCAGGTCCTTGTATCCGACGTGGATCTTCCCGTTCTGCAGGAATTGCAGACATCACCCCATGCAACTGGGGGGGGGAGCCCCAGCAGATACACGGGGACAGTCTGGGAGAGGGAACAGGAAGCGCCAAGGGCTTGGGGCCGCCACCACCACGTACGGGGACGGAGTACATGGTTTTGATGTTGCTCCTGAACTTCTCGGTGGCTTCAATAAATAAGCTCTCGATGGGAGTCTTCTGGGAGCGCAGATCATTTATCTGGAAAGAGAGAGGAGTTGACCCCATGTGGCCTCAGTCCTGGGGACCTGTGTGCCTGAGGAGGCTCTAAGCCATCACCTCTGCCCTCTCCCAAGTCCTCCCCTGGGCTCACAGGGTAAAATTTGCCCCTCCATCTAACCCTGGTCTCCAACCCCTTCAATGCAGTTAAAACTACTGACATGTGGGACTGGATCACCCTCTGTAGTGGAGACCATCCTGTGCACTGTGAGGTGCTAACAGCATTCCTGGCCTCCACCCACTCAATGCCAGTGGCACCCCTGCCCTCAGTCGTGACACCCCAAGATGTCTCTAGACATTGCCAATGTCCCTGGAGGACAGAAATGCCCCTGCTGAGAACTGCAGATTTAGCCCAGACCCTTCCTGCTGCCCCACATAGGTGCTCAATGTCCGGCCACACCCCAGGATCAGGTTGCCTCAAAAAGCTTGGTTAATTAGGGCCGGCCCATGGCTCACTTCAGAGAGTGTGGTGCTGATAACACCAAGGCCATGGGTTTGGATCCCTATACAGGGATGGCTGGTTAGTTCACTTGGGAGAGCGTGGTGCTGACAACACCAAGTCAAGGGTTAAGATTCCCTTACTGGTCATCTTTAAAAAAAAAGTAAAATAAAAGCTTGGTTATTTCAAAATGGTTTTGCCTTTGGCAGGGTCTCTTGACCCTTCAGTGTCCCTGTCAGGCCACCACTCCGTTTGCTGTGGGATCACCCCTAGCTGGGGCATGAACACTCCAAGTGCAAGCCATGGCTCATTCACCTCTACCTCCGCTGTACAGTTAGTGCTTAATCAATGTCTGCCGTGAGACTGCATGAATTTTGTAAAAGTGTAATCTAAATACAGTAGGAGTTCAGGCAGCAGCTGTGCAGTCAGACAAGGCCTGACTGTGGGACCAAGGGGTTTCCTGGGGGGTTAATCTGAAGCCTGGTGCTTCCGTTTCCTCATGTATACAAGTGGGACAGTCACCCCTGTGGGGTGCCGTGGGACAACACGTGAAGTGTCTTCTAATAGCAGATTTTGAACTTCCTGGGCACGGGCCATAGGAAGAAAACTTGTGCTTGGCATCCAACCTGAACACATGCACGAGACAACGTTGACCTCGCCATGTGGAAGGTGTTCTGACACATGCTGTGGCTCATCACCCAGAGCTCTCGGGGACAGGTGTGTCTCAGGATTCTGACTGCTTCAGATACAACGCAGCTTTCCACGTGTCCTGTGCACCCCATAGTAACATTCACTAAGATCTTGCAGTGAAATATAAATATCTGTGCTGAGTGAGAAAAACGCAGACTACAATAGTTCCACGTGGGCCCAGGCCAGGTTTTGCAGTAAACGAGGTGATGTCGGACCTAGGTTTCTGGAACCTTCTGTGTATCAGGACTGTGGACCTGGACTTTCTATTTCTGACCTGCTAAGGACTGTGGTGGGCAGTTCAGAAAACTCTGTCCAGGGGTGGCAGTTCCCCGAGGAGGCCCAGATCTGACTCCTGCTGTGTGTCCCGCACCCGCCACCTCCACCTGGCGTTCCGGCCGGCTGCTGGGCCCACCTTGTTGAGCAGGAACTCATCCAGGTATTTGAGCTCGTTGGCATTGGTGATCTTGCGGAACACCGATTCCCGCCACTTCTCCGACACCGTGATTTTGCCAATCTTGAGGTTTCGGTTCCTTTTCCCTTTGCCTCCTGGCTCCTTGGTGTGCTTCTCGCCTGCTGCGTGGCGCTGCTGGTGGCCAGAAGGGGCTGTGGGGAGGAAACAGCTGGTGAGGGTGGATTTCGCGTAGGACCCCTTGCCGGGCACAGTCAGAAACCCCCTGAAGCTCTGTGCCCAGGGCTCTTGGGCCGACTCAAGGCCCTATTCAGGCCTGATCAACATCCCTGGGGGCCCTGGGGGCTCTGCCGTCTGTCCCTGAGGCTGCAGGCAACCAACCTTCTAGACCCTTCTTCGTGGTGGTGGCTTCTAGCACAGCGTGCCCAGACACCGTGTTCTCCATCTCCTCCACGCCCTCCAGGCTGTATTTTTTATCCTTGGTTTTATGCAGGAAAAGTCTCTTAAATGTGGATCTGCAGGAGAAAGTAAGTGGTTTCATTTAAGCTTCAGAAAATGAAAATGGACACGAAGCCCAGCCTCCCTCTGACTGGGCACATAGCAAACACTCTGTAATTGCCTGACTAAAAACTGGTCTTAGGGCCGGCCCGGTGGCGCACTGCTATAGTGCGCCGCTTGGGAAGTGTGGTGGCGCTCCCGCCGAGGGTTCGGATCCCACATACAGACCGGCCGCTCACTGGCTGAGCGAGGTGCGGGAGCAACACCGAGGGTTGCGATCCCGTTGCCGGTCCCGGTCCGGTACGGGCGCGACACTGAGGGTTGCGATCCGTTGCCGGTCACGAAAAAAAGACAAAAAGGAAAAAAAATTAAAAAATAAAAATAAAAAAAAAACGGGTCTTATTATAAGGAGAGCCCTTTTCTTCATTATTGATGCTACTAATGCTAAAGTCTATTTGTATGAACTGACAGGGGAGTAATGGGAAAAAAGCAAGATGCTGAACCGAAGGCACAGTTTGATTCCGTTTTCATATTTAAAAATTAATAACACTCCTGTCCCCCTCATATATTTTTATTGGCACAGGGTTAGAAAAGTCAGGAAGAATTTGGTATTTGCCAAACCGTGGACCGTGGCTGCTGGGCTCATGTGTAACCCTCAGGATCTGTAAGCATGTCCTTACTTGGAAGAAAGGGTCTTTGCAGATGTAATTAAATGAAGAATCTCGGGATAAGATCATGCTGGATTAACCAGGTTGGCCTTAAATACAATGTGTCCTTATAAGCGACAGAAGAGAAGACACATGGGAGAGGGGACAGTCAAGGGAAGACAGAGGCAGGGACTGCAGTGATGCGGCCAAAAGCCAAGGATCACCTGGAGCCCCCAGAAGCTGGACGAGGCAAGAAGGATCCTCCCCTAGAGCTCTGGAGGGACAACAACCCTGATGACACATTGATTTCAGATTTGTGGGCTCTAGAACCATGAGAGCATAAGTTTCTGTGTTTTAAGCCACCCAGGTTGTGGTACTTTGTGCCATCAGTAGGTTCTCCCTGCAGTGGGGGGGCTCTGTCCCCACACCCAGCAGAGTCCGCCCTGCACCTTCCTTCCCCTGCATCTGGATCAAAGCTCACCTGTCACATGGCCTGCTCTCCCTTCCCTGAGAAAGAGCCACCTGGAGCGTTTTCACAGGGGCTTTCTGGGAACAGAGTCTTGGCCCAGTTCTTCCTATCTGAGGACCCAGGAGGGGTTCCCAGAGGTGGGGGAGGGGGAGACAGGAGACGGTTTTGATTCCATGAAAAGCCAAATGGAAACTGTCTGTGGACCCAGAGGAGGAGGTGACCCAGACTGGCTTGAGGCTTCCGTAGGAATCACTGCACCCCGAGGCGGCCATGCTGGTGCTAGAGGAGGTCATGAACCTGGGCTTTGCGGGCAAGTCCAGGGCGAGGGCCCTGGGGAAGCTCTGCATGCAGGAACCTCTCCTCATGGAATTTCCACTGATTAAATACCTGCCCGACTGTGGTTCGTAAACGTGATAGGTTGAGGACAATGAACTGCTACGAGGCCTTGGCAAGGACCCTGGAGCCCTCCAACCCCTGAACTTACTTAGAGTCAGCCTGGGAGCCTGGGGACAGCCCTGCATCTGTGCCAGAGGCTGCATCGCCTGATTTCTTCTTCTGGACGGCTGGCTTCTTGGTGCTTGGTTCCCCATCTGTGGCTTCTGTTGAAGGCTGCAAGACAATGGGGGTTGGGGGGGAGACGAGTGAGCAAAGGCAGGTGGCCCATGCTGGGGGACACTGGATCCCTGCAGTCACTGTGCCCTCTCTCCACCAACATCACCTTTCTCCTTGGGCAGGGCCAGGGCAGCCATAGAGGGAGTGAACTATGACCCTGAGGGGCGAGAGCCGCAGCCTGCAGCATAAGTTACCTGAGCCTTGGCCGGGAATGGGAGGAGCTTGGAGACATCGCTGGTGGATAAGGAGATGCGCCTCTCCCTGTGAGATCACAGAAGTGCAGTTGTTACTGACCACAGCAAGGGAGCAATATGCTATTGGCATAATCTAGAAGTTCTCACTTGGGCCGAATCTGGCCCCCAGGGGACTCTTGGCAATGTCTGGAGACATTTTTGGCTGCCACCACTGAGGGAAAGGAGGGAATGGGTGCTACTGGCTCCTGGTAGGTGGAGCCTAGGGATGCTGCTCAACACTCTATAGTGCCAGGACAGCCCCACCCCAGACAACGATCCCGCCCAGATCTTGATGTGCAGAGGGTGAAAAACGCTGCTTCAGGGCTAGCCCGTGTTTCACTCAGGAGAGTGCGGTGCTGATAACACCAAGGCCGTGGATTCGGATCCCATATAGGGATGGCCGGTTAGTTCATTGGGTGAGCATGGTGCTGACAACACCAAGTCAAGGGTTAAGATCCCCTTACCGGTCATCTTTAAAAAACAACAACAAAAAACCCTGCTTCGGCATGAGAGAGACCCTGTCTGTCTGTATCTATATATAGGGATGGCCGGTTAGTTCCCGCCCAGATCTTGATGTGCAGAGGGTGAAAAACGCTGCTTCAGGGCTAGCCCGTGTTTCACTCAGGAGAGTGCGGTGCTGATAACACCAAGGCCGTGGATTCGGATCCCATATAGGGATGGCCGGTTAGTTCATTGGGTGAGCATGGTGCTGACAACACCAAGTCAAGGGTTAAGATCCCCTTACCGGTCATCTTTAAAAAACAACAACAAAAAACCCTGCTTCGGCATGAGAGAGACCCTGTCTGTCTGTATCTATCTCCCATCTATATCCACCATCTCTATCTATCTTCTACCTATCCTCCACCCATCCACATCCATCCTTCCATCCAACCATCACTCGTCCGTCTGTCCATCCACCCACTCATAATCCACCTACCCATCAATCCATCCATCCATCCACCCATCCATCCTTCATTATGTATCATGCTACTGGCATCTGGTGGGTGGAGGCTGGGGTGCTGCTCAGCACCCTAGGATATCCAGGATAGCCCCCACCAAAGAGAACAATCCAGCCCTAAACGTCAGCAGTGGGAGGCTGAGAAGCCCTGCTCTACCGGAATGAATGCCTGTCTCTCCTCCGACTCTCCTTTCCTTCAGCCCCGCAGGCCCTAGAGAAGATGGGGCTGCAGATTTGCAGTCCCCGACATTTAGTGTATGAAGAGTCAGGCAGAGTGAGCCCTTACTCCTTCAACCCTGCGGAAGTATGATGAGCCCCCTTCATTGATGAGGGAACTGAGGCCCAGGTTCATTGGGCAGCAGAGCCCTTGACCCGAGGGGTTGCCTCCATAAGGCTTTCTGTGTTAGCACAGCTTGTGTTGGGGGACTCTCAGGGCATCCCTGGGCAGGTGCCTCATCTCTGCTGAGCCTTCTGCCTGCCCCTTTGCCCTCCTTCCTTGGGGCTCCCACATGCCTGCTGGGCGTGACTGCTCATGTGTTTTGGGGATGCGTGGCCTTGCCGGCCCTGGCCTGGCAACCATGGTGCTTGCACAGAGGAGAGTGGGGGCTTACTCTGTGGACATGAGGGTGGTCCCCACTGCCCGGTGCCTGTCACTGAGGTCCAGCGACTGGCTCAGCATGGTACTGGGGCTGGTGGCTGCCATCAGCTTCTTGCCCCGCCACAGCTCCACAGCAGTGGCCAGCCGCTCAGCATCCTGGTCGCGGTGCCGCTGGATCTGCGTGGGGCCTCCGGGGCTCTCGGGCCCGTCTTGACCCCTTGGAGTGCCACTCAGCTTGGTCCTGTCCTTGGGGGTCTCAGGGGTGCTGCCGGGGGCTGGTGGGCCAACCCTGCTGTCCAGGGCCAGGCTTGTGGGCCGTTCCACATGGCCTGGCCTAGGGCTCCCACCTTGGGGCACCTGCTCTGTTTCTCCGGAGATCTGGCTGGCCGCTATGGCCTGCGGTTGCTCTGTGGACTGCCTTTTAGAAGCCTCCTGGGCCTCTGTCCCTGCATCTGTAGGGGTTTCATCTCTGCTCTCCTTTTTGTCTTCTGGGAGGCTCTTCCCTTGTTCTGGGACAGCCCTTCTAGAAGGTTCTTTGAGGGCACTCTCTTCCTTACAGGACTGGCTATGTTTGTTCTGGAATTTCACGTGCTCCAGCCCTCTCTGTCGACGGGACTCGCGTTTCTCCCGGCTGCTGGGGACTTTCTCGTGACTTTCGGCTGTCAAGTTTTTCTGGGATGGGGGCACCTTCTCTGGGCTCACCACCTCCTTCTCTGGGGTCAGTGCCTCCTTCTCAGGTAGGGAGATCCCCACCGGGGACTCATCACTCGGCCACGCTTCAGGCTCCAACACCAGGTGCTCACTGTCCGACGTCTCCGGGCGCTGCTCGGCCTCCTGCTCCCTGCTGGCCACCTGGCCCCACCGGCCCTCTGTGGTCCCCACCCTGGCGGCCTGCTGGGCTTCCCTCTCCTTCTCTCCTGCCTGCTGCTTCTCTGCGACCATCTTGCTGAAGCTGGTGTGAGGAAAGAGTAGAGGGGGCTAGTTCACAAATGGATGTCTTCTCTGCCTCCAGAATCGACCCAGCTGGGTTCTGGGGTGACCCCCTACCATACTGCCTGTGAGCTGTAGGCCAGGTTCTGCCTCTGCCTAGCAGCCCTTAGAGATACTTCCAGAAAGGCAGAACCTCCTTAACCAGAGGTTCTGCCTTTCCTGGAGGATACAGGAGGTGCCCCCTTGTCGTCAGGGCCACCCCTGCCCTAGGTATGCCTGGCTTGCTCATTCAGGGAGAGGACCCTTGCTGGGTCTGCTGTGGGTGGGTTCCATATGAAATCCCTGAATTCCTCTGGGATCCACTGGGAGGTCTCTCTGGGGCTCATTCTCTAGGAGGCTTTTGCATGTGTGGACAGTGCCTGAAAGGGACTTCTGTCCTGGGTGCTGGGACCCTGACTCCTGGCACAGGGCTGGGTCTATGGTGGGGGAAGGGGACCACTTCGGGGTGGTCTGGTCAGCCCCTCCTTCAACCCAAGTGTTACATCGACTGGCCTAGGGTGGGCAGGTGCAGGAAGTCCCTGGTGGAGACCAAGTCCAGCCAATGGTAAAACTGGGGCTTCCTCCTTAAGTGTCCCCTGCCAGCTCTGGAGTATCTCTCTGGAGCCCGTGTGTCCAGACAGCTGGTTTTCTGCTAGCCCCTCCCTGTGTGCAGAATGACATCCCCAGAGCTCCACCGGCCAGACAGGTAGCTCTTTGATGAGTGACCCTCCTGGGCTTCCAGAACGTTCTGAGGAGCAGGCCCTGCTGTGCTCACCTCTTGCGCTGCAGATGCCCGCGGCAGAGGCTCTGCAGGCGGATGATGCCCTGTCTCTGGCGCTGGTAGGCAGTCCGCTGCCGGTAGCCCCTCCAGGCCGCCTGGAGGTACACGGCTGCCTGCGTCCTCTCCAGCACCCGCCGGACCCGATAGGACCGCCAGCAGGCCTGGATGGTGACAGCTGCCCGCTTCATCTGTAGGAACTGCCGCCGTTCCAGCACCATCCGGAACCAGCTCTGCAGGAGCAGGATCTTGCGCACGACCTCCCGATGCAGTGTCTCCTGAAGGGCCTGCCGCTCTGTCTCCTTCAGGAAGACCTGGTAGGTGTGGGGTTGGGCTGGGTCAGCACGATGCACCACCCGATTCCCACAAGCTGCCGGTGCCTGGGAGATCTGCATAGCCCATGCTGGGAGTGAGGTTTGGGCTGGTGTGCTGACTGACTGGGGCTTTTTTTGTTTTTAGTGTAAGCACATTCATAATGCTCTACTATCACCTCTATCCAGTGCCAGAATGTTTTCATCCCCCACAAAAAGAGATCCCCGTCCCCCTCAGTGGTCACTCCCCATTCCCCTCCCCCTGCCCTGGTGACCACTAATCTGCTGTCTGTCTCTATGGATGTGCCTGTCCGGAACTTTCGTATCAATGGCGTCACACAATGTGGCTTTTGAGGTCTGGCTTCTCTCACTGAGCATGTTCTCAAGGTTCATCCACACTGCAGCACAGGTGCTTTCTTACTTTTCATGGCTGTATACTATTCCACTGTGTGGATGCACCACATTTTGTTAATCCACTCACTGACTGAGGGACACTGGGGTTGTTTCCACCTTTTGGCCACTATGAAGAGTGCTGCTGTGAATGCGGGTACACACGTTTTTGACTGAACACCTGTTTTTCAATTCTTTTGGGAATATACCCAGGAGTGGGACTGCTGAGTTATATGGTAACCCTATGATTAACATTGTTGAGGAACCGTAAAGGGACCTTTTACACCAGGAGGGGCCTTCCCGGGGAGCTGACCTTGACTTGTTAAACAAGAGCAGCCAAGTGGTGCCTGGAAAACGAGAAGCAACCCACACAACACCCACAGGGTGGAGGCAATTTTGGAAAGGGAAGACAACTGCAGGAAACCTTCTCCCAGACACTACAAAGCTCACTGACTGGCCCCAAAGCCCCCTGATGGTCAGCACAATTGCCCTGTCCTGCCCACGAGAAAACAGTAAACAGGTTAGACTGAGCGACTCCCTGAGCCCCGCTGAAGAGCAGCTGGAGGAGGCTCGACAAGGCAGCCCCCCCAGTCACTCTGCTCTGCCTGCTGGGAAGAAATAAAGTGCTGGGCCCCGAAAAACACACTTCCTCAGCAGAGCCCCTGTTTTTCAGAGCGTGGCCCAGGGCATCTGGGGACGTGGGGGGGTGGGGATTGGGTTTGCAGCCGCCCCAGGGGGTAGGAACGCTGACCTTGGTCTTGCCGATCTGGTAGCTCCTTCTGTCTACGTTCATCTTCTCCAGCAGTGCGGAGATGACCTCCCTGCAAGGCTGGGTGTTCTTGGGCAACAGCACCTGGAACTGCTCTGTGAAATCCTAGGTGATTTTGGCCAAGAAAGGAGAATCCATGTGAGCATTTCCTCTAGCGACACAGAGACAGGGCTCCAGCGATTCCCTGGTCAAGACTAGTTTCTGAAGCTATAACTTGTTTTGATGGGAATGGTATTCACAAATCTAAAATTTAAAATTGTGGATGTTCTGAGATGGTCTCAAGCTTCAGAAAGACTACCTGGATAGAGTGCTGGGTCTTTTAGTCAGCCAGGGTGGTTGGGAGGTGGCAGGGCCGCCTCCTCTATGGCTCGTTAAAGGGCTGGGCCATAGCTGGAGGTATATGCCTTATAAGTAAACAGCAACTTTAAATATTTTAAGAGCCAATGATTAGTAAAATACATCAGCATTTTCCCGCTTCTATAATTTTGCCTCTCCTATCTGCACAGGACCAGAAAGATACTATTTCCATTCTGCAGATGAGAAAAGTGAGGTATGCCACAGCTTAACCCCCGAGGCCACCCGGGTAAAGCCTGAATGGGGAGCAGGTGCTGTCCCCTCTAGCTTTGGGCTCAGAGCTACATGGGTGCCAGCTTGCAGCTTGAGGTGGGGGGTCCATACTGGGCCATGCTAACGACCAGGGACATTCAGGGATATCTGGAGCTATCTTGGGTTGTCAGAACTGGGGAGACTGGAGTTGCTACTGGCACCCAGCAGGTGGAGGCCAGAGATGCTTTCCAACATCCTACAATGCACAGGACAGCCCCCAAGGCACAATGAATGACCTGACCCCAAACATCAAAGGATCTAGAGATATAGCCTTCACCAACTTAAGGTTACTGATGATCCTCATATTTCTAGACAGCCCAGGGAGCCCTCTCTGCAGTCATTGCCTACCTGGGCCTAGGTTTCTATACCAGGAAAATAAGAACATGGACCCTCTTGTGGGTGGTGGGTAGGATAAAAGAGTTGGGTATAAAAGCATTGACTACAGATGTTGCTTAGTGAAGCACAGGGCTCTGAATGTATCTGCTTGTGAAACTCCCTCTTCCTAGCTTGGTGTAACACTGTATCTTTCCAGGTGCTGTGGTTTGACTGTCCCCTGTAAAACTCATGTTGAAACTTGATCCCTGAAGTAACAATATTAAAAGGTGGGCTAATTAAGAAGTGATTGGGTCACGAATGGATTAATGGGTTAATGGGTTATGAAAGCTGGTTTGGCTCTCTGTGGGCCCCTTGCTGTGTGACACCCTGCGTTGCCTCAGGATTCTGCAAAGAGCCCCCACCAGCAAGAAAGTCCCCACCAGATATGCCCCTCAGCCTTGTACTTCCCAATCCCCACAATTGCAAGAAATTTCTGTTCTTTGTAAATGACCCAGTCTCAGGTATTCAGTTACAGCAACAGAAAATGAACCAAAACACCAGGTTTGGCCATTTCTGCTGAGGAAAGTTGTCCCAGCTCCCTGCAACAGAGGATGATCCAGTCTAAATGCCAACAGTGCTGTGGTGCAGAAGCCAGTCCGGCCCTCTGCTGCAGCCCCAGCGAGTAGCCCGGTGTGCATGCATGCAGCTCACCTGAAAGGTGTACTTGGCGCTGTAGCCCGACCTCCGGATGCGCACGGTCTCCAGCATGCCCGTGTAGCGCAGCTGCTGCAGCACCAGCTCCTCGTCGAAGCACAGCTCTCTCTGAAACAGGCAAGCAAGGGATCAGGCACGGGCCGTGACCTGACTGATGCCCAAGCCTGGCGGGGGCTTGGAAAACTGAGACGAGGAGCCGATTCCCATGTGAATGTCGCCCCTCAGTATTCTGGACACAGACAGTCAGGGCACACATGTGGCCTCGAAATGTCCTCTAGCACAGCACCGGGAGCACCTGGAGAATCCATCTTTCCTTGCTCCTGATGTTCTTTTTGGAATGAGGACACAGACCACTTAGTAGCAGTGCTCGCGGTGTCTGATTCCTCTAGAAAACTTGGCATCTGGTCTGTGCTATCCCCTGGAGTCCTGAAGATGGATGGTACGTCTTGCTGCCTAACTTATGTAATTTGCTGCAAAGTTTTTTTTCTTAAAAGGACCCAAACTCAAACCTTTGCAGAGCTCAGACTCTGTGCCAGAGTCTAACTGGGGTAAGTGGTGGGGATCTGGGGAAGAAGGGAATTCAGTCTGGGGGTGGGAGCTAGACACAGGTGTGACAAGGTGCTGCCCAGGCCCCTGTGAGAGGCATTCTAGGAGAGAAGGGACTCTGGGCTGCGTTCTGAGGAGAGAATGGGCAGGGGGCAGCAGGGTGAAGGCCCAGGGAAGAAGGAAAAAGCTGAGGGGCCGACGGGGACATATGGAGTTGCTGACCACAGAGGGAGGGGAGGAGGGGCTGGAACCCAGGCTGCCTCCGGGGCTTTGAGCCAGAGATCAGGGGCCTGGACTTCTCCCTGGTGGCCAATAATTGAGGGATGATGCACAGTGTTATCTTAAGGAGGAACAGGAGGGAACAGCAGAGGGACAGGTTGTCATGACTGGGGTGGTGGAGGCTGAGGATGCTGCCCAACCCCTGTGGTGCCCAGGACAGCCCCAACACAGAGAATGCTCTGTGGGCATGGCCCACGCCCAGAGCACATGCCAATGGAGCATTTCCCGAGCTGGCCCGTGCTGGAGCAAGAATCCCAGCGTAAGAAGAGGGGCTGGATTCTGCTGCTGCGCGGACGGGGGTGGGAGACTGGCACAACTCCAGGTTTGTCCTTAGTGGGGAGGACAGAATTTGAAGCTCCCTGTGGGGAGGAGCTGGGCTCCGGACGTGAGTGGAGGTGCCCTAGGAGCAGGAAGAGCCAGGGAACCGTGACAAGCAGACGAAGGGGTGAACCAGTGAGGGAGCGGATGGAGTTGCCAAGAAGCTCCTGCCCAGGCACCTAATCATACTGTGAGGGAGCCCAGGTCTCTGAGTGGCTCCTGGCAGTCCCTGGGCTGTCCTCCCAGGGATGGAGTGGACCTTGGGGAAGAGGGAGGCCCAGAACAAGGGCTGAGTCTGGGGCTGGAGACCCCTCTGGTGTTCTGACAGTCTTTCTAGAAACTACCATGTGAGCAGTGGGCTCTTTGCTGTTTTGAGACTCGTGGTCCTGCACCACCTCAGCCCCTGCCTTCCAGAACGTTCTCCACATTGGCCAGTCCTGGGGTATCTGAAGAGTATCTGTCCCTCTCTGGTCAAACCTTCTCTGGGGCCTTCCATGTTCTAGATGACATCCCTGCTCTCGACCGGCCATGGGGCCACCCTCGCTGCCTCCTGTTGACCCCACCCCAGCAGCCTCAGCACCTTTGAATGCTCGGCTCCACAAGGCCTTTCCTGGCCCCCTCCCTGAGTTGGCTGGTACTGTCCCCCGTCCTCCGTGGAGGCAGGAACACCCCAGGGGTCCAGTAGGGGCTTTTGCCTCCCCGACACTCCAGGGCTACTGACCTTCTCAGCGTTGGAGCGGATGCAGCGGATGAAGAAGGGCTCTGCCTTCCCCAGGGTCTCCAGGAGCTTGTTCAGGGATGTCTGGGGAAAGAGGGAACATTCATGCTCAGCTGGGGACCCCAGGAGCATGTCGCTCAGTGGGAGGGGACCTGGGTCATCGACCAGCATCAGCAGGGGATAGGGGGTGTATGTCTGTGCTCCCAGGCAGTGGGACATGGGAGGCTGCAGCTGGACGTTCTGATCAGAGGCTGTGCTACACTGGGAACCCTTGAGGGGGCTATGGGGTCTCCATGGTCCCAGGGCCACCCAGTTCCAGATAAATTCCTTCTGGAGATTTAAAACTCATGTCAGACTCAGAAAGGACCATGGACACAGTGGTTTTGGTGCCTGGCCTGCTGTCCCCAAAAAGGATCTGTAGAACTTCTCTCATAAGGTAATTACAAAAAAAAGCTGAGATGGGAACAGAAGACTCAAATTGAGGAAAGAAGGAAAAACAAAAAAGCTAATGGTGATGGTTAACAGCTGGTGGATCTCCTAAAGAAAAAAAAATGTCCCCGAGTTTCCTGGCAGCCAGGGAAAAAAGGGAAACATGACTTAAGGACACAGCTCAGTGGTCAGGTTAACTAACACACTAACCCATGATTCTCTGAACTCAGTGGTTCTCAACCCAGGGTGATTTTTCTCACAAGGGGGCATAAGACAATGGTGGCTAACTTGAGAGCAGGATGGCATGGTACTACTGGCATCTGCTGGGCCAAGGCCAGAGATTCTGCTATAATACTCTACAGCACAAAGGATAATCTCCCCAACAGAGAATGATCCAGCCCCAGATGTCCTTTGGGGGCCGAGGTTGGGAACCCCTGGAATGACTGATAAGCTGCTGTGTTGGGTTTGTTTTGGCCAAGCTTAGCTCTGCCTCCCGCCTCTCCTGGCCCGCCGACCTGGAACTGGGCGCTGATGCTTGGTGGCTTCTTCTTCTTGTGCAGGTGCAGCAGGGACTTGGTGGTGCGGTCATGCAGGGTCATGCTAATGATCAGTTTCAGGGACTTGGAGTCCAGCAGGTTCTAGAACAGACACACGGGGTCCGGCCTGCCCTCCCACAGCCCATATGGGCACCAGGAGGCATCACAGATGTCCCTGGAGCTGGGGCAGGGCTTCACCCCTGTGGCGAGTGCTGGGGCAACATTTCTCAGGCTCGGTCTCAGGACCGCTGGTGGCTGGGGCCGGTGAGCATGTGGGCTGCACCTGGGCTGCACCGGGAGGGTTGGCAAGAGCCTCTTTAACAGCCAAGTGCCTACACCATCTCCTCCTCCTTTGGGACAGGCAATGAAGCCAGTGCTACTGATGCCGCCTTCCCACTGCACAGCTCGATATGGCTTATGTTACTCGAGCTGAGGATACTGGGTTCTCTCTGTGCCTTCTGCGTGAGCTCATGGGCAGGTCTGTCCCCACATGCTAACCAGGAGTATCAGCTGACAGGAGGGACTAGCCCTGTCCCATCTGCTGACTAGGCCAAGAGATCATTCTTACGTAATCTTTTTTTTTTGGTGGCTGGCTGGTATGGGGATCTGAACCCTTGACCTTGGTGTTATTGGTACCATGTTCTACCAACTGAGCTAACCAGCCAGCCATCTGTTTCTGCAAACTTCATAAGCCATCTGCACACTGTATGTGGAAGCTAGACAGAGCATCAGGGAGGTGCTTCATCCCATCCTGCCCTCTGCAGTGGGGTAAACAGAAGGGTCAGGACCAGCTCTGTGGTGCTGTCGCCTCTCCAGCGCTTCCTGTGGGATGAGGCTGAGGCCAGACTTCCGCTGAGCCTACGTCCTGGCCCAGCTTCCCCCTCACCCCCTTAGCCTCTCCTGAGAGCCCCCTCAATGTACCACTTTTGCAAATACCCCCATCTTGGGCCCTGCTTCTAGGAGATCTAAACAGAGGCAGCTCCAAATCATCTCAACATGAGAACATTTGTCTTTTTGGAGGAAGGGGGAGATGGTGGGAAGAAGAAGGAACGAAAGAAGCCGCGGAGGTTAACAATGCTTCTCTCCCCTCCCCGTTTTCTGAACAACAACTTGAGCCACCAGGCGGCTCCTAAGACAGGCAAAAGAGCAAGACATCTCGGGGCGTGTCGCGCGGGTTTTACCTTTGGAATGGTCTGCTTTTGTTTGATACCTCTACTTTTCCTGTCAAAATATTAAAAATGGATTTTGTGAACAGAAGGAACACAGTGTCTGGACTTGGGTTAGTTCAGCAAGCCACGCCTTGCAGGTTAGACCGAGAGAGAGGAAGAGTGCAGAGAGGACAGTGAACAGGCACAAGTGCAGCACGGCCACCGCCGCCACCGCCTTTCCGAAGGTCCGGCGGGCTCCCACCTCATGTGCACAGCTCATGTCAGTGACTGCACGCCTGCTGCACTGGCCAGTGGCAGCTGGGCTCTGCAGTTGGTTGCCCCTGAAGTGATATGAGCATTTGATCTAGGGGTCATGTGCATATCTGGGGAATGGGGAAGGGGCTGGCTAGTCATCTATAGGGCGGGACATGCATCGATGTGGAGCCTGCTACGGAGACGATGACATTATCTCAAAAAATGATGGGATGCCCTGAACCGGCATTGAGAGGTCCTGGGCAGTCCCGATGCTGACCAGGTGACTGGCTCCATTTGCTAGGTGTTTGCAGACGCCAAGCAGGCCCGCAGAGCCAGCAGGGACATGCCCCGCAAAGAACTGAGATGGGGCCCAGATAGGAGCAGCTTTGGGGCTCACGCTGGTGGAAAGGAAACACGGGAGCTAATCTTTTGGATGAAGGAGGGGGATGGCCCCCGTGTCCTTGGATACTTTATGAAATCTTACAGACCCAAGAGGAAAAAAAGAAGTAGCAGCTCAGCTCTTTTTTTTCTTTTGGCGGCTGACCAGCACAGGGATGAACGCTGGACCGACCGTGGTGTTAATCAGCACCGTACTCTCACCAATGGAGCTAATGGGCTATTGGCTCTTTTTAAAAACAGCTAAGGAAAGGATGCCCCATAGATCTGTGAGATGCTAGGCCCTGAGGCTCTATTTGTATGAGGGTTCATCTTAATCCCTGGGGGTAAACTAAGGCACACAAGATGAAGTTTGAAACTGGCTTTGTGGTGGGCACAAGCTTTGCTCTCAGCTGGCCCGAGCCCTGAATGGCTGCTGAAGGTTGGATGCAGTCACCGCAGATGCCACTTTGGCTAAGGCTGCCACCTGCCCAGAGCTGGGTGAGCGCCACGTGGGTCAGGGTCACCAGCCTGTTCTGCAGATGGATGCTGAAGGCCGAGAGTACTTGGGCTGTGTGGTGAGTTAGTGGGTGGGGTTGGGATCCAAACCCAGTGTGCGTGCCTTCTGGGCTGCTCTTGGGAAATCACTCGCCCTACTCCAGGAGCTGCTCTGTCAGCTCATGGTGGCAGAGGCAGAGGGGCAAGCTTGGCTCAGCAAGCCGGGCAGGTGGGCGTAGGCACGTTTGGGGGCAGGAAATTAGATGCCTCGGGGAGGAGCGTTCCTCTGGAGCTGCACTGGGGAGCCGGCGGTGGGTACGTGGGCCACAGCGCACACACCAGGGCAAGGGCATTAACGATGGCCATTTAGCGACAGCTGGGGTGAGAATGAAACCACAAGACAGCACAGCATTTTTTAGTGGCCGATTTGGCTTAGGAAGACAGGCCCGCCGGGGTCCGGGAGCAGGGAGGGGGAGGTGGCCGTTGCACTCGTGGGAGGGCCTCAGGGGACTCACAGGACGAAGGTGCGGGGTTTCTGAAGCCGACTGAGGGACTGGAGAAGACTACGGGGGTCCTCGCCCTGCCAGGGCAGTCCTTTGATGCTCTTGATGATTTGGTTATGCAAATCGCTGAGGGGAGTCGGGGAGGCACAGTGACAGAGAGAAGATGGAGTTAGAGCCGCAGGCCCACCACCTCGGGGTCCCCAGTGCCATCGGGACGTCCCCAGGCCACTGGAGCCAAAACATGCAGCTGGGGCAGCTGCCTCTGCCTCCTGCTCCAAGAAGGAGGACCAGGCCAGGAGCGCCGCCTTCCCCGAGCCCTGGTGCAGATGGAACTTTGGGGCAAATGGACTCTCAGATCACTGAAAAAAGTCTCATATTTAAGACCCTTTTGGGATCTTTAAAAAGCAGACAGGGGATACTGAAAAAAGGAGGCCACAGGGTCCCTGTGGGAGGAACGGATTAGTTTGTTTGAGGATTTGATGGCCAGAAGTCCACCTCCTTGTTGACTTCATTAAGGCATTGAGAGGCATGGATTCCAGTACACAGGGTGGTTCTCAACCAGGGGCATTTGTTAATGTCTAGAGACATTTGTGGTTGTCATGACTGGGGGATGCTCCTGGCATCTGGCGGGTGGAGGCCAGGGACACTGCTCAACACCCTACAGTGGAGACCGCACCCCAGAGAATGCTCTAGCATAGTGCCGAGGTTGAGAAACCCTAGTTTAAGGGGACAGATACCCCCCAAGAACACAATCTTGTTCGCTTTACTGATCACGGTGGGCTCGGGTGTGAGAAGACGTTCCAGGCCCAAACTTTGGCACTAACGCGAAAGCCCGAGAGTAACTTAAAGATGAAAAGCAATTACTTTGAAAATGAACACTAGTGAAGAATGTCTAAATGACAAATGTCTGAATGTTTGTGACAGAACTCCTGGAAGGAAGATTCTGTTTTATGGGTTTTTTTTTTTTTTTTTTTAATTCCTCATTCCAATTATTCTGTTTTTATCTATTTATTTTTTGGTGGCTGGTCAGTCTGGGGATCTGAACCCTTGACTTTGGTGTCATAACACCGTGCTCTAGCCAACTGGGCTGACCGGACAGCCTCAAATTATTCTAAATACATGTTTTAAGCTCTGGGCAGGTGGCCTGGAAGGGCCCCGATCGGCAGGCCCCGGTCTGTGTCCATGCACATGCGGAGTGCCCGGACAGGCCCACTTACCTGTGCTCCCTCGCCCTCCAGGGAGGCACGGAGCAAAGAACAGGAGTCATGTTTCACCTTTACGCTCCAGTCACCTCCACACCCAGGGCAGTCAGCACGGTGGCCACAGCTGGGAACGAGGCCTATGGCTCTGGCCCACCCCCCTGCATGGCCGATCCCCTCTCTCCTTGCCCTGGACGCCATGCTGAGTGCCCTGGGTGGGTGGTTAGTCTTGGTGTGCGTCCCTGGTCTCGGGTTCGAAGGCCCTCCTTCTACTTACTTCTTGCTCTCATAGAAAGCAATGATGTCCTCAAAAGCGTTAATATCGAACTCCTCAGAGCCGTCAAATGAGAAATCTAGCATTGAGCAGCTGGAAGGGAGAATCTGTATAAACTTAATGTGCTCCCAGGGCGGACCCACAGCCCCGGGGCCAGGCTCTGGGGATACTGAAGCCACTTCAGCGACTGCGGGTCAGAGGCCACTTTTGGTCTTTGTAGGGGGAAAAGAAAAAAACAAAAACAAAAAAACAAGCAAATAGAGGGATGCAGTTTACTCTGTTTTACCCTCTTTGGGGTGAAAAAATTGATTTAAAAACACACCTTTTTAAAAGCAAGAGAAACAATACACCCTGCTTCTGGACAAACCACACGACCACTTACCTAGGTGCTAGCTCTCCTGCCACACACACACTTTTATGAATCTCCTCAAGAAGTTTTGTTTATGAAGTGCTCGAAAATAAAATGACTTTTTCAGTCAAAAATTTAGGGACTAGCTCCTCAGGAATTTGGGTCTTGAAAAAGCAGTCAGGGACCGGGCTGACCCAGGGCCTTTGCACGGGATGCCCTCCTTGTCTGGCTCAACGGGTCCCTTTCTCAATGTGGCCCGAGCGTCTCTCCCAGAGGCATCTCTCCCTGGCTTTGTCCTTGCCTTGGACATCAGTCCAGTGTGGCCTTTCTGACCCCATCTGCTTGGGAACAGATGTTGCATTGCTCACTTTTATACCCTGGCACCAGCACATAATGGGGCAGGTGGACGGCCCATGGGTATTGCTAGGGACTACAAAGTACTCCATGTCATCTCACATGCAGACATAAGGCATGTGTGTTTCTGCCTGTGCATGAAGTAACTTAGCAGAACTACTTCCGGGACACCCAGCCAGGATAAGGCATCAAGCCTGTCGCTCAGCAGTCTCTTGGCTCCGCCCACGAATGCCCACCATGGGACATGAAAAGAATCCTTTGTGAGCTCAGCTGTCCCACTTCTCTCTAAGGCACATGATGCACTGAGGCTGGCCATTATGAGCACAGAAAAGCAGCAACCACATGCCGTTTGGTTCTGGGTCTTTCTCGGATCAGACAGCTGCTCTGACTTACTCAGAGCAACCTTGACCTGAGCTTAGGGTGGAGGGTTTCGTCTTAATATCAGACAACTTTGGTTTGGACAAACCAAGGTCTCGCTCACCGGTAAAGTTTTTCCGAGGGGGTGTTGGCTCCTCTTGGTGGCTCTCCCAGGTGGCTTTGGGCACCAGGGCTGCCCAGACCTGCTGGGGACACAGAGTGGATGTGCCGGGGAGGGTCTCTTGCAGCCCAACAGCCCTTGTGTTTTCTGGGGTGGCCGCGATCCTTACTTTTACCCAGTTTAAAAAAACAGCTCATTACCTAAGCTCAGGCAGAGCCAGGGGCAGTGGAGCGTCTGATCCCCAGAAAAGAGCACAGCTCTTTCCCTACTTCTCATAAAGGCTTTATCCTTCTTCCTTTTAACCAATGCCCTTTAAGAGATGGGGTCCTGAGACTTGGGTGGGCTACTCAACAGCACGGGCCTCAGGTTCCTTCCAGGAAAAACGGAGACATGCCTTTCTGCCTTCTGAGGCTGACATGAGGGTTAAATCATACTCCCTGGGATGGCTTCTGTTTGGGATGAGGAAAAGCTCTACGACTAGACAGAGGTGGCATTCATATGACATAATGAATGTACTAATTGCCACCGACTTGCTCACTTATTTAAATGGATTCTGAATGTCCCGGTCTCGATGGTGACCCCTCCTACCTGCAGCCTTCTCAGCCCTCTCGGCACGTAGGCGCCCAGCCTCCCGGAGCACGGCCATGGCCCGGATGGCAGCGCGGAGCACAGCCCAGCGGAACACAGCCACAGGGTCCATGCCGATGAGCTCACGCACATAGGAGCTGTCGCTGCCCCGCAGCAGGGCCACGATGTCGGGCCGCATGTAGTCCATGTTCTTCTCCCGGAAGTCCTGGCAGGGGAGGGTTGCGGGCAGTCACTCAAGGGTCGTCCCTCGTAGGCGCCCATCCCAGCAACAGATGGCAGCTCCTAGCTATGGGGCCCTGGACATTGGAGCCGGGGATTCAAGGCCGAGCACCCTGGGACTTTGCCCAGTGCCAGACAGGGAAAAGGCAACAAACTGCGCAAGTGCCAGAGGGGAGGAAGGGCCTGCTGTGTGTCCCATGCCTGCTTTTCAGGCCTATGGTGGCTACATTGACAACCCCGGCGGTGGCGGCGGCAGACACATACCTTGATCTGGTACTTAACTTTCCCAGCGAAGTGTTGGATGATGAAGGCTGGCTCCATGACCGGGGTACCCAGGAAGTACTTGTTGTATTCGTGCTGCTGCTTGAACTTGGCCAGCAGGGTCTGGCTTGTGGCGTGCGGGAAGCTGGCAAGAGAATTAAGGACCTTGAGTATCGCTGACAGTAGTCAACAACCTGCTTGGCGTTTCATGTCGCAGACCCTCCACATATGGGGCGTGTGGGTGCTCGGGGTGCCCTGGACAGTGAAACGATGGGCAAACCAACATGGAAAGGAGAGCGCCACCTAATGAACCCGCTGCCTGCAGCAGTGGCTGTGCCCGCGGTGGGTATGAGCAGACGGAGGATGAAGGGCCGTGCTTGGGGCTGCAGACAGAATGTGGAGCAGCCCCATGCCCGGTGCAATCAGCCCAGTCCCTACTCCCCCAATATGGCTATTTGCTGGGGGGCTGCAGAGGCTGCTGGCTGGGCTTGGTGGCGTTGGTGGACATTTGGCTTAAGCCAGGCCTGGGCCTGAGAAAAATCCCAGGTTGGGGTGACATCTGTCTTGGATCCATGTGCACCTGGATGCTGGGCCTTGGATGGGGGTCTTGTCCCTGCTCCCTGGTAGGAGGGAGAGGCTGGGAGATGGGGATGAAGCAGGGCTCTGTTCTGTCCCGGGGTGAGGTGGGGGGTACGGAGCAGAATAAGGGACTCCTTGTACCTGGTGATTTCTGCCTCCCAGCAGGGAAATGCTGCTGTCGGCTTTGGCACATCCTGCCTGTGCCCGGCTGCACCACAAACACAGGCTGTGGCATTTGCACCCAAATCCCCAACACTGGGGCTCCATAGCTTAATGAAGGGGGGTGGGGGGACGATCAGCGGGGGGAGTCTGTAGCTACAAAATACATCGTGTCCAGGGTTGCATTAAGGGTGTGCAGAGCGGGGCATCTGCTTCTGGCAACAAAAAAACCTCAGGCTTGATAAATAACATTTTAGTGCACTATTTTAGAAAATCTGAATCAACGTGTAAAAAAAAAATTTATGAATGAAAATAGCAAGATTTTAAGTAGAGAGAGATCAGAGTCTGCTTGACCAGGCCCTGCCCCACGGGTCTCCCCTGATCCAGCCCTGGGGGGTTTCCTGGTTGCAGTGACATAGCTCCCCCTAGCACCCTGACCCTCTCTTACGTGATTATTCTCTACTTGGATCCTGGCCACAGCCACGAGGCAGATGTATCTGTCTCCCTGTCCTGGATGGGGACTTGTAAGAGGGGCCAATAAAGAGTTATTGATAAAAAGATATGGCCATGTCTTAACCCCTGGAACCTGTAAATGTGACCTTATTTGGAAACGGTCTTTGCAGATGTAACTAGTTAAGATGAAGCGATTAGGTTGGGCCCTAGTCCAGTATGACTAGTGTCCTCTTAAGAGGAGGAGATGAAACAGAGATAGAGACACACAGGGGAGAAGGTCATGTGACTATGCAGGCAGGACCTGGAGTGACACGGCCACAATCCAAGGAACTCCTGGAGCCCCAGAAGCTAGAAGAGGCCAGGAGGGATCTCCCCCTATAAGCTCTAGAAGTGGTGTGGCCCTGCTGACACCTGACTTTAGACTTCTGGCTTCCAGAACTATAAAAGAATAAATTCCTATTGTTTTAAGTGACGTGGTTTGTGGTAATTCATTAAGCAACCACAGGAAGCAAATTCAGTGAGTGTCACCTGATTTCAGTGACTGCAGCTGGGTGACCGGGAGTCACATTATAGATGCCCCTTCCAGCCTTCACCATGCCCTGCAGACAAGCAGGACAAGGGGAGGGAGGCCCAGCGGTGAGTCCAGAGAAAGCCAGTGGAGTCCGGACCCTGACTTCCACGTGCTGTACTGCCCTTTGCAGGAACATGCCCACCTTGTCCCTAGTGTTTAGACAGAGGCCCACAATCCTTTACCAAAACCCCTGGGGCAGATGTGTTTCCGAGTGCACAGACTAATCACATCGGTTAACACTTCCACACTGAACCGTATATGCATTTGGCAAATGTGAGCTCAGGATTGGTGGCCAAAGGCATGTGAGAAACCAAGGAGTCCTTGGTAGGGTCTGGATTCGGGGTGAGGCTCTGAAAGCTGCAGAACCCGACCCAGAGCCTGTGTCTGCAGACGTGTGGGGTCAGCTGCCTGTGGGGCAGACGGGGCAGTGGACACTCACTTGCTCTCCTCGTCCAGCAGGTAGAAGAGGCCAGTGGGCTTCTTGCTGATGAGGTGGATGCAGCCGACATTGTCCGTGTAGTCGATGTTGTGCCACGTGATCCCTTCACTCTGATACTCTTCCTGCGGGGTTAGAGTGGGTGCCGGTAAGTCCTTATTTCACAGCTACGTTAATATTCATAAAACCACGCTTTGCAAATAAACATATATATGTATCAACAGGCATGTTTATATATAAATGTATGAATAACAAAATATATGTTGATTTACTAACATGAAGGCGTTAATAATGACATAAAGTTATAATATAAGTTAGTAATTATCAACAGAAAACAAAAATGCACATTCTGTATGTGACACCAAAAAATTCATAAAAAAAAAAAAAATTCAATTTAATTGTCCATTACTAGTTTACAGAAATACAATTAAATTGTGCATAGGGATCTGCAATTCACTTATAGGTTTTAGCAACTTTTTTTTTTTTTTTTTGCAGATTTCATAGCATTTTCTATGCAGAAGATCATGTCATCTGCAAATATGTAGTTTTACTTTCTCCTTTCCAAAAAAAAGGGCCGCCCCGTGGCGCACTCGGGAGAGTGCGGTGCTGGGAGTGCAGTGCCGCCGCGGGTTCGGATCCTATAGAGGAATGGCCGGTGCGCTCACTGGCTGAGCACCGGTCACAAAAAAAAAAAAGAAAAGAAAAAAGAAAGCCAATAGCCCCTTAACATGGGCCGGCCCGGTGGCTCACTCGGGAGAGTGCAGTGCTGATAACACCAAGGCCCCGGGTTCGGATCCCATATAGGGATGGCCGAAAGAAAAGAAAAAAGAAAGCCAATAGCCCCTTAACATGGGCCGGCCCGGTGGCTCACTCGGGAGAGTGCAGTGCTGATAACACCAAGGCCCCGGGTTCGGATCCCATATAGGGATGGCCGAAAGAAAAGAAAAAAGAAAGCCAATAGCCCCTTAACATGGGCCGGCCCGGTGGCTCACTCGGGAGAGTGCAGTGCTGATAACACCAAGGCCCCGGGTTCGGATCCCATATAGGGATGGCCGAAAGAAAAGAAAAAAGAAAGCCAATAGCCCCTTAACATGGGCCGGCCCGGTGGCTCACTCGGGAGAGTGCAGTGCTGATAACACCAAGGCCCCGGGTTCGGATCCCATATAGGGATGGCCGAAAGAAAAGAAAAAAGAAAGCCAATAGCCCCTTAACATGGGCCGGCCCGGTGGCTCACTCGGGAGAGTGCAGTGCTGATAACACCAAGGCCCCGGGTTCGGATCCCATATAGGGATGGCCGGTTCGCTCACTGGCTGAGCGCGGTGTGGGCGCAACACCGAGGGTTGCGATCCCGTTACCGGTCAGTAAAAAAGACAAAAAAGGAAAAAAATAAATAAATAAATAAAATAAAATCACCCTCGATTGTCAAACTTTTTCTGTGGTGTCTGTTGTGACTGCTTGTAGTGTGTGAAAGCAGCCAGAGACATGTAACCAGATGGCTGTGTCAATAAAGCTTTATTTATAAAAACAGTTTACAGGGCCAGTCTGGACCCACAGGCTGTGGCTTGCTGGCCCCTGCTTTAGAACTATGCTGTCCAGAAGGAATATATGAGGGTACTTCAAAAAATTCTCAAAAAAAATAGAATTAAAAAGATAATACAAATCTTTCCACAAACTTTTCGAAGTACTCTGATAATATGAATGACCTGTTAAAATCCAAAAAATGACCTTATATATCCCCAAAACGGTCATGTCGACATGGAATCAATATAAAAGAATAACTGAGACACTTTGTGTTTTTCCCCCCTGCACTAAGTCTCTGCAATCTGGTGTATATCTCACTTTCCCAACAAGGTTCAATTTGGACTAGGCTTGTTCCAAGTGCTCAACAGCCAAAAGGCTTAATAGTAAAATCAGTTAAACATTTATATAAACCCGCTAGTTTTTTTCCATCAGAGTCATCAACGTGAAGGATAATAACGTGAGTAAAGATGGCTATTTAGCGGACAAAAGACATATGAGACAGATTATCACTATCGCTGACCAAAGCACACCCTTAAAAGGCAACTCTTTCTCTCCCACTGGAAGGACTTTCACATCTGGGCAGAAAAAATCCAAAAAGGCACTATGGCTCAAAACATCTCTGATATTTTCCTCATCCAGGGCTGGGTGGGATTTTCCGGGACTTTCCCTCTGGCAGAGAAAAATTCTGGGGCAGATTTACCAACAAACTAGGCCCCAAGGGACATTCCGGGACTAGCTCATTCCACTGTCCCTTGGGCTGGGCGGGCAACAAAATGATATTTCTGTAAAATGGTGCAACTGCTGTGGAAAACAATCTGGTGGTCCCTCAAAATATTAAACACAGAATTACCATATGATCCAAAGGTGGAGGCGACCCAAGTGTCCAGCAGTAGATGATCGGACAAACACAACGCATGTCCATGCGATAGAATGTTACCAAGTCTTCAAAAGGAATACAGTTCCGACACACGCTACAAAACGGACAACCCTGAGGACGCTATGCTCAGTGAAATAGGCCAGTCAGAAAAACAAATACTGTGTGATTCCACTTATACGAAGTCCCTGGAGTTGTCAGATTCACAGAGACAGAAAGCAGAATGGTGGGCGCCAAGGCTGGAGTTTAATGGGGATGGAGTTTCTGTCTGGGAAGATGAAGAGTTTTGCAGATGGATGGTGGTGATGGCTGCACAACAGCGTGAATGTGCTTAAACCTCACCAGACTTTACACTTAAACATGGGTAAGGTGGTGGGCTGGCCCTGTGGCTCACTCGGGAGAGTGTGGTGCTGATAACACCAAGGCCCCGGGTTCGGATCCCACATAGGGATGGCCGGCTCGCTCACTGGCTGAGCGTGGTGCTGACAACACCAAGTCAAGGGTTAAGATCCCCTTACCGGTCATCTTTAAAAAAATAAAAAAATAAACATGGGTAAGGTGGTAAATTCTGTTGTGTATTTTACCAAAAAAAAACCTTGAAAAACAAACAAACCCACGGTATTTCCTTACCTGCTCTAGTTTGAAAATGTGCTGATTAAAGTAATACTGAAGCTGCTCGTTGGCATAGTTGATGCAGAACTGTTCAAAACTGTTCCTCTCAAAGTCTTCAAAGCCAAAGATGTCGAGGACCCCGATGGACAAGCACTGGGGGAGACAGAGCGGATGGTTATTGCCAGTGGCTTTTCCCACAGGAGTGGACCTTCCTGAGAGGGTCGGGCTTCATGGGCGGGGACCCATTTGGTCTTTAGGGCCCACACTCAGCTGAACACTATTGTCACTGGTGTGGCATCTCTAAGTTTTGAACAAGGGGCCCCATGTTTTCATTCTGTGCTGGACCCTTGAATTGTGTAGCCTGTCCTGTTCCCTGGGTCTGGCTGTGGGAGTAACCAGCTTCTCGCCCAATACTGCCTGAAGACACCTTGGCTCCCAGAGGCATGGGTCATCCACCAAGAACGTCTGGCGCCAACGGCACGGCCTCCCCAGTCCTCGATTGGCAGACTCAGCAGGAGGCACTCACCGAGACTGCCTCTTCCATATCCTTCTTGTTGAGGAGGGCATGGTTGATCCGCAGCACAATCCAGTCGAACAGGGCACTGTACAGTGACTTTGCCATGGAGTCGCGGGCAGTTATGGCCTGCGGATAGAGGGGCGGCTCACCTTGGGCAGTGCAGGCCCTGTGTTGTGTTGCCCCTTGGAGGCATTAACGGACCCAGTGGCCTGTGGGTCGGCCAAGTCCTTTCCACATGCCAGCGCTCTCCTCAGGGTAACCCAGGTTACTGCTGAGCATGGCAGAGGACCTGGCATGCCCCTGTGGTAGAACCAGTGAGGAGGCCAAGCAGGGTGCAGACCTAGACCCCTTGTTCTTCAGGGGACACCATGTGGCTGCCGTTATGTGCATAAAAACAGCATGGTCTATTTTTTTTTTTTTTTGTCTTTTTGTCTTTTTCCGTGTCCGGCAACGGATCGCAACCCTTAGTGTTGCCCCCGTACCGGACCGGGGACCGGCCACGGGATCGCAACCCTCGGTGTTGCGCCCACACCGCGCTCAGCCAGTGAGCGGGAACCGGTCTCCACATGGGATCCGAACCCTCGGGCGGGAGCGCTGCTGCGCTTCCCAAGCGGCGCACTATCCAGTGCGCCCCCGGGCCGGCCCTGCCTGGTCTATTTTTAAAAAGGCTCATTAAGGTTTAATCTACACACAATAAATGCACTCTTTTTATGTACTTGGCTGTCAGTAGTGCTGCTGTACGGCCTCGGCGGATGTACGGTACAGCAGGCAACAGGATCGCAACCCTCGGTGTTGCGCCCACACCGCGCTCAGCCAGTGAGCGGGAACCGGTCTCCACATGGGATCCGAACCCTCGGGCGGGAGCGCTGCTGCGCTTCCCAAGCGGCGCACTATCCAGTGCGCCACCGGGCCGGCCCTGCATGGTCTATTTTTAAAAAGGCTCATTAAGGTTTAATCTACACACAATAAATGCACTCTTTTTATGTACTTGGCTGTCAGTAGTGACAGATGTGCTTAGCTACCATCAAGATCTGGAATACGTCCCTCTGGTTTTGCCTCTCTTGGATGTTGTGGACACAGAGCCACATGGGATGCAGGCCCTGCTTGTCATCTCTGGCTCAGCATGGTGCCTCTGGGGGACCCCTTGCTACAGGGTCCTGGGTATCCTACAGCAACTTCCCCACAACATCACATGCTTCCCAGGCTCATGTGGGCTCAGAATGTCCATGGTGACAATTTAAAATGCCCAAGCAGCTTCCCATCAGGTGAGGGGCTAAAAACCCCCTGTAATTAGGTACTTTCCTACTGCTATCCAAGCTGCAAGCTGCAAGTCACAATGCTCTTGAGATGTAAAAACGGCAAGAGAAACACACCAGAAAGAAAGTATCTGGATTGGGGCAAAGGCCAGAGGGAGGTGTCTCATCAAGAGTCAGGGTCACAGGCCTGAGACCCACAGGTGGAGGGTCACCTAATGGTCATAAAGGTCATGCTCCAGCCCAGGGGTGGGCGAAGTTTTTCTGGAAAGGGCCAAAAAGTCAATACACTAGGCTTTGTGGGCCTGAAGGTCTCCATCGCAACCACTCAGCTCTGCTGCTGTAGCACAAAAGCAGCTGTAGACCGTATGTGGATGAATGGGCATGGGAGCACGCCAATAAAACTTTATTTACAAAACCAAGTGGAGGACTGGATTTGGTCAACCTCTGCTGATGAGAACCAGCCTGTGCACTGAGCATATAGAAACACAGAGGCAAACATCCAGGGCTTAAGTTCTGGCCTGAGGGCTACAGTTTGCTGTATAAGTTGGTTGTGTCACGCCTGCGCTTGCATGACAGCCACAGGCACTGCCAGGGCTCTGCTCGTATCCCTTGAGACAGGAAAAGGCCAGCCACACTGGCTTTTTCTGAAGGACCCCATCACTGTGTTCTGGGGACTGGCACCCCTCAAGTGCCAGGTGGTGCTCACCTCACTGAGACTGTAGGGGAGAATGAGCTTGTCATTGACAGTCACTGTTTTTCTTTTGGTCAGGACTTCCACCAAGATTTCTCGCTTCACCTGTTTCAAGGTCAAGGAGGAAGGGAAGGAAAGGGAGGTGAAGAGCTTGCCAGCATGTCCACATGTCACTGAAGAAAGTCCTGGAGCCCGAGGAAGATGGGAGACGAGACCCCCAGTGGCTGGCCTGGGAAGCAGGTCCCGAAGCCCACCCTCAGGCTGCCAACTGTGATGTGTCTACCCTCAGCAGGTTCCAGAATTCACACACAGGCTTGACAGTTCCCAGTGCATCATCACATGGGCCTGGGTGTCAGTCAGTATAAGCTGCAGGCCCAGGAGGCACCTGGTCACCTGCACTCAGAGCCGTTGCTATTGGAGCTGGTTTCATACAAAGGCTGGGCTTGGGGCTCAGATCTCGCCCAGAGACCCAATGAGTTCATCCGTCACACCACCAAGCCCCATCCCCAAGCTGGTGGTCTCTTCCTGCCAGTAGTAAGAGTAGGGGCAGGGGGATCTTCCCTTAAACTTCCAGTAGGCTCATGCATCCCCATGAACTCAGCAAAAGCAGAGGCTCCCACTGCCTTCTTTAGGAAAAGCCGCAGCCGGAATGCAGGCTTAGAAAACAGAAGGGCGAGGGCAGGGCTCCTCAGCCCTGCCACAGTTTGCACTGGGGGCTATCTTGTGCATTGCAGGGTACTGAGCAGAATCCCTGGACCCCACCCACCAGATGCCAGGAGCACCTCCTACTTGGACAACCAGTGTCCCCTGAGGGGCAGAATCATTCCTAGCTGAGAACCAGTGGACAACTGGCAAGTCCAGTGAAAAATGACCTCGCTGGTCAAACTACTGTTTAAAAGAGACTGTCGCATAAGGGGTTGAAGTGGGAGGAGTCCCTGCCCAGAAAGGTCATCAGAAATGAGGAAGGGACACTGTGGAGATGACAAGGAAGGAAGCTAGCACACAGGCCTGCATTTACAAAACCTCGGCTGAAGGAGGAAGTTCTGGTCACTTGTCCTCTGTATCAAGAGCTGGCCTGGCCAGTCTCCTGTGGCTGAGGGCAGAGAGAAGTACCTTTAGAAGCTGGGACAGTGTGTCCAGCACCTCAGGGGGCCCAACCTCCAGGCCTTCCTCGCGGCCCATGGCTCTCTTCTTGTAACTGACATTACCCAGGTACAGGATGGCTGAGAGAACAGAAAAAATCCTGGGAAAGAAGAGGAGCTTACATGAGAGCAGTTTCTACATTTGTAAGATGACAGAAACTTCCAGGAAACGGGCTGAAACTTGTAAAATCAGCAACCATATGAAGTTAGAAAAACGCTTACTGCCTCTGTCAAGGTCTCCTTCTGTGGAATGTGACTTTGCAGATAGCTATCTTGATCTTTTTTTTTTTTTTTAGGGAAGTTTTTAAACAATATACATTTTTCTGGAGGTGTAACATGTACAAAAAAGCACACAATTCCCAAGTGTAGAGCTTGATGAATTGTCAAAGTAACCAGCTCCCAGACCAAGGAATGCATCATTCCAGGCCGCAGTCTCCCCCAACCCCCCGAGTAACCACTATCCTGATGTCTAACACTGTCCATGAACTTGACGTTGATGAAAACGTATGTACACATGTCTGCTTGGTCACTGAGACACTGGGATGGGGGAGTGTGCCCCATGCATGATACTGCACATGGCAGTGGCTTGTTTGTTCTGAGCGCTGCAGATCGGAGTTCCTCAGCCTCAGCACTGCTAACATGTGGGGCTATATCCTTCTTTGCCTCAGGGGGCTGCCCTGTGCATTGCAGGGTGTGAAGCAGCATGTGGGGTCTTTACCCACTAGATGCCAGTAGCACCCTCTACTCCCTCTGCCCTATCCCAGTTGTGACAATCCAAAATGTCTCCAAACAGCCATCACCGATTGTCCCCTGTGGACAGAATCGACCCTGGGTGAATACAGCAGCTATGTAGGAAATAGGGGTCGGCAAACTGTGCTCCACATATGGCCCGATTTTGTGTAGCCCCTGAGCTAAAAATGATTCTAAGTTTTCAAGGGTTGTTAAAAACAAAACAAAATGAAACACAGACCATCTGGCCCACTAAGCCTGAAATTCTGTCTGGCCCTTTATAGAACGTTTGCCAACCCCTGCTTGGAAACATTGCAATTTATTTATTTAATCTCCTGATGGCGGGCAATTTGCAGGGGGTGGGGGCTCTGGTTTTTTGGCTGTTATACACAAGGATGCTGTGGGCATTTGCATGCGTGTCTGCCCGTGAACAAATGTACGAGTTTTGTGCATACGCAGCTGTAGCAGAAGCTGCCAAATGGTTTTCCAAAGCGGCTGCTCTGGTTTGCACTCTCCCAGCAGGGTGTGAGCGTCTGCGACAGGTGCACAGACCATCTATCCAGGCAGGCAGTGGAGGGTACCCCGTGTGGTTTTTAACTTAAAAGAAATTCTTTTGGGGCCAGCCCATGGCTCACTTGGAAGAGTGTGGTGATGATAACACCATGGCCACGGGTTTGGATCCCTATATAGGGATGGCCGGTGCGCTCACTGGCTGAGCGCAGTGCAGATGACACCAAGCCAAGGGTTGCGATCTCCTTGCTGGTCACAAAAAAAAAAAAAAAAAAAAAAAAGGGGGGCCGGCCCGGTGGCGCACTGGAGAGTGCCCCGCTTGGGAGTGTGGTGGCGCTCCCGCCGAGGGTTCAGATCCCATGTGGAGACTGGTTCCCGCTCACTGGCTGAGCGTGGTGTGGGCGCAACACCGAGGGTTGCGATCCCATTACCGGTCAGTAAAAAAGAAAAGAAAAAAAAAAAGATCCCCTTACCGGTCATCTTTTAATAAAAACAAACAAACAAACAAATAAACAAATAAATTTCTTAAAATTGTGGTAAAATATGCATACCATAAAATTTACCATCTTCACCGTTTTTAAGTGTATTGTTCAGTAGTGTTAAGTATATTCTCACTGGTTTTAATTGGCGTCTCCCAGTGACAAATGGCTGGAGCCCCTTTTCATGTGCCCATTGTCACTGGGCTCTCCTCCTCAGGGTGGCTCTGTTCAGGACTCCTGCCCATTTTCTACGGAGTTGGGGGTCAGATCTTGGAGTGACTGGTAACAGCCAAGAGCTCCCCCTGCAGGCTGGGACAGAACGGCCCCAGGTCTGCTCACTTACTGCTTCTTGGTGGCAGGGAGGAAGCCCACCATCTCCATGGCCTGCTTGAGTCTTTCAAAGTCGTGCTTCAGGTCTTCTCCATCTTCGATCTTCAAGTTATGCTGAAAAACAAAGGCGTCGGCACTCTGGGCAGTTCTGGGCTGGCAAGGGTGGCGTGTGAGTGATTCTGGCCGGAACCCACAGGGCAGGGCCCAGGACACGGGGAATGAATGGGCTCCTTTATGCTGCCTCCTTGGGCCTGGTCTGGGGCTGAGGAGGGCCAGGCAGGTGGCCTCTGACCTCCCCCCAGCTGCATGTAAACAGCCTGCAGGGGAACAGAGGTGGCGTTTGTGGCTGGGGCTCCAGGCTGTTTACCTGGTTGAGGTAGAAATAATCTTCAGGCTGCTTGAGCTGAAATTCTTGGCGTTCTTCCTCACTGACACCGAGCAGCAAATAATAAAACACGTGGTAGTTCCTGCAGGTCAAAATTGGAGGAAAAAGAGTTGTTTCTAGAGGCCAAGCAACAGCTGCTCTTCGAACCACTGCTAATATTGCACTGGAGACCATACAGGGGAAGAAAAAGCGCTTCCAAAATACACAAATTTAAAACAATAAGTTGATTCTTATTATGTCTTTAAAGGAAACGACATAAACTTTACCAGTAAGTAGATTTCTGGGGGTGGGGGTGGTACAAAGAAAATATCACTCCTCAAACAGCAGTGTTTCTCATCTCACCGCATTTTGGGTGGACATCTGAGCACCTACTGTGGATAAAACCCTCGAGGAGGCACAAAAATGAGCACAAAGAGGTAGTTTGGGAGGTAAGAGTGCAAAGCTGGAGGCCATGGGAGTGGACCTGGGGAAGAACTTGGCTGGGCAGGCCCCCTCCTGGGAGACCCACTACGGCCTGCCTGAAAGTTCCTCAGGCCACAGGACATCGGCCTCTCCCCTTTGTAGGGACAAAAGCAGATGCAGAGTGACAAAGACCCCAGAGAAAACATCCTCCTACCTTTCATCCTTCTCCTGAGAGACCAGGCGAGACTTTTCAAGCAGATATTTTTCGACAACAGCTCTGTCATTAAAAGAAAAAAGAAAACATAAATTGTTATTTTTTTTTGGCAGTTGGTGGGTATGGGGAACTGAACCCTTGACCTTGGTACTTACAAGGATGTGCTCTAACCAACTGAGCTAACCGGCCAGACTCCAAATGTTACCTTTTAATATTGTTTTCTTGAAGAACTATAGTTTTGTGTAGTGTTTGGTACCATGGTATGGGCAGCTACAGATTAACTTCCTTTGGCACAATGTAAATATTCACCAGGTAGCCACAGAGAATGCTGGTTTACCCTATGACTATGATCTATAAAAATAAGGAACTGGGGCTGGCCACTTCTACTCCCCAGACCAGATTTGGGCCATTGGGAGGACACAGAAACACAACGTGGTATTTTGTCACGAGAGACCGACCCCGAGGACGGGAGTGAGTGTACCCATCTGTTTATGGAAGGTTACTTCCGCTCCTGTAATCTCCCCAGCAATTAAATGTTTCTCCACTTGAAAAAAAATTTTTTGGAGGTTGAGGACTCAGTTTTATTTGTTTGCTTGTGCAGATGCCAACTGGAAATTAAAAGATAATGTACAGCCCAGTTAGGCATGTATAATCAACAATAATTTACTGCACGTTATCAAACAGCTAGAAGACAGGAGATTGAATGTTCTTATCACAAAGAAATGATAAAGTTTTGTAATGATGAATACGCTAATTATCCTGATTTGATCAAAACATGTTATATACATGTACTAATATTCAACTTTGTACCCACAAATATGTATAATCAATTTGCAAATAAAACCTATGCAAAAAATTTTAAAAAAGAAAACAGATTAATTTTTGCATTCTTGTTTATAGCTTTATTGATCATGACATACAATAAACTGCACAAAATTAAAGCCTACAATGTGATGGGTTTTGAAATGTGTAAACACCTGGAAACCCCCTACCGTGATCAACAAAGAGAACATACCCATCAGCCCAAAAAGTCTCCCAGATCCCGTGTCATCTCTCCCCACACACCCTCCCCTGAGCAGCTGCCAATCAGCTTTTTGCCACTAGACAATGGTTTGCCTTTCCTATAAGTTTAAACAAAGAGAATCATGCAGTGTGTACACTGTGTCCGGCTCTTACATTCAGTATGATTTGGAGATCCAACCATGCTGTTGTACATATCAGAACTTCCTTCCTCTTTATGGTTAAGTAATGTTCCACTGCACAGACAGATCTCATTTCGTTCATCCACCCACCTGCTGAGGGACATGTGGGTAGTTTCCAGTTTTTGGCTATTCTGAACAATTCTGCTGTGGACATTTGTGTACAAGTCTTTGTGTGGACACAGGTTCTCATTTCTTCTGGGCTAATACTTAGGAGCAGAATTGTTGGGTCATAAGGTAATACTGTGTTCGAGTTTTTGAGAAACTGCCAAACAGTTTTCCAAGATAGCTGCACTATTTGACGTTACCACCAGCAGTGTATGAGGGCTCCAACGTCTCCACATCCTTGCCAACGTTTGTCTTTTTGATTCTAGCCATCCTGGTGGGTGGGAAGTGAAGTGGTATCTCACTACAGTTTTATTTATTAAAAAAAAATTTTTTTTAAAGATGACCGGTAAGGGGATCTTAATAATTGACTCGGTGTTGTCAGCACCACGCTCACCCGGTGAGCTAACTGGCCATACCTATATGGGATCCAAACCCGTGGCCTTGGTTTTATCAGCACCACACTCTCCTGAGTGAGCCACGGGCCAGCCCTCACTATGGTTTTAATTGAAATTTCCTTGATGACCAATGGTGTCGAACATCTTATTTATTTATTTATTTATTTTTCATTCATTCAATTAATTAATGAATTAATTTATTTATTTTTCGGTGGCTGGCTGGTACAGGTATCCAAACCCTTTATTTGGTATTATCAGCACCATGCTCTCCCAGGTGAGCTAAGCAGCTAGCCTGTGTCCTATCATTGAGCTATAAACGTTCTTTATATATTTTAGACACAGTCTTTGGCTGGATCAGTGATTTGCAGGCTACCTTCTCTGGGTCTGGGGCCTGCTTTTTTGTTTATGTCATACTGTCTTTGAAAAGCAGGGGGTTTCTAACACACATCACCATTCGGTTGTATTTGTATAGTCTCATGTTTGGTCATTTACCACATTTTCTTTGTGTCAGGTAGTTATTGTGTTTCCTCCAAATTAAGTTCTCATGGGCCGCACAGGAGGTGGGTGGTGTCACGCAGGACCTAGAGTCTGTGATGTTGTAAGGATGTCAGAGCAAGGATGGGGGCATCTCTGCAACCACTCTCTTAATGCTAATAGTAGCAATGGCAAACATTTCTTAAGGACTTACTATGTTCTAGGCAAAAGTTCAAAGCATTTCTCAGGGACTCCTTCCACCCACTGGGGTGGGCACTGTGGTTCCCATTGATGGACAAGGAGGCATACAGCAGCCGCTCAGAACCCCATAGGAGGAAGGTGGCCTGGTGGGCTCCTTCTACATCCACCAGGGCTGGCATGGGTCTGGAGATGCTGGTCTCGCTCAGATTCCACCATGGCAGGCTGGCTAGTTAGCTTGGTTGGTCAGAGCACAGCCTTGTAACACCAAGGTTAAGGGTTCAGATCCTCATACGCCGGCCGCCATAAAAAAAAAAAAAAAAAAAAATTCCACCATGGCCAGGTGTATGAGCTGTGCGGGGTCTGCAGACCACCCAAGCCCATCCCATTTTACAGGAGACACAGCATGTGCCTGTGGGGTGGCAGGGTCAGGGGACAGCATAAAGAACTAGGTCCAGGGTTTGCCGGACGCCGCCTGCCTCTCTCTCGAGGACAGCAGTCTTCTGTCTACAGGCTCGTACGGGGACACGCGATGTTCACTAGTGGGTTTCCAAAGGCCCAACCCATGTCCTCTCTTCTTTCAAAATAGAAGAAAAAATGGTTTCTTGGGTCCCTCCCCCTGGCTAGTAATCATTCAGTTTCGGCACCTTTCCCCAATCTGTTTTCCTGGGGAGGGAGGCTGCATCTCAATCAGACTCACGGATCTAGAATCAGACTCATGTTTGAATCTCACCCTGTGGCCAATTCCCTTTGCTGTGTCTGCACATATGAGGACGTTACACAATGCTGGAGGGATGACAGGCTGGCAACGAGCTTTCATTTGACTAAAGACAGACTCTTCCCACTCGCAATCATTTCCAAGACTCAGTCCCCTAATAAACGGGTCTTGTAGGGATCCAGGACTCCCCTGGCACTGAGTCCTTGAACACCAAGGAAAGCAAAGACTCACAAATTGGGGTACTGGGGGACAGGCTCAGACTGCCCCTGACCCTTGGCCATGGTGGGAAATGGCATCAAGAAGTGTCACTTACCCAAAAGAGCACAAAAGCAGAACTGAGTCTGAGCCTCATGAGGTGGCCATGGCCACTCCAGGGACAGGAAATGTGCCTCCTTCCCCAGGGTGAGGAGGGGCCGTGGTCCTGGGTCAGGGCGGAAATTCCCTTCCTGAATCCAAGGCCACAGAAGCTGGTCTGTGAGATCCTGCCGCTGAGGAAAACTGGCCCCAAACCTGATGGGAGCCTGTGGCAGGCAGGGCAGGCTGGACCACTCAGTGGAGGGCCAGCCCTTGCCAGTATGCTGGGTCCAGTGGTGGCCCCAGAAGACACATCACCTTGAATCTGTGAATGGGACCTTAGTTGGAAAAAGGGTCTTAGCAGATGTAATTAAGGATCTTGAGATCATCCTTGGTGATCCAGGTGGATCGTAAATCCATTGATAAGTGTCCTCAGAAGAGAAGGGGAAAGAGACAGAGACACAGACCACATGGAGACAGAAGCAGGGACTGGAGGGATGCAGCCACAAGCCAAGGATCGCCTGGCAAGCTGGAAGAGGCAGGAAGGATCCTCTCCTAGAGCCTCTAGGTGGCACATGGCCCCGTAGACACCTTGACTTCAGACTTCTGGCCCCGAGAACCATGAGCGCATAAATTCCTGCTATTTAAGCCATGTAGCTCGTGGTTCTGTTATGGCAGCCCCAGGACACTCTTACGGAGACCACGTGGAGAAGCGGGGAGCAGCACCCACTGGGAGGCTGAGGGTAGTGTCTGGCCCAAGGCCTGTTAAGCCAGCTCGGCACCCAGGAAAACACGGTAGTCTCTCTGCTTCTCCCTGGGGACCCCAGAACTGTAGGAGCAGTGTGCTCCCCTGTTATTTGCACAATAAGATACCCTGGGCACTTCCTGCTGGTCAAAATCTCTGCAATGTGGCAGATTCAACTGTGCAAAATATGGAGCCGTGGAAGAAAAAATAAATAAAAAATAAGTGGTGGGGACCCTTGCGCATGGCTGGGGGAACGTAAAATGGTACAGCCGCTACAGGATGCAGCACGGCAGCTCCTGAAAAAATTAAACAGAATTACCACGTGATCCAGCAATTCCACTTCTGGGTATTAATCCAAAAGAATCGAGGCAGGGTCTTGATGAGATATTTGTACACCCATGTTCATAGTAGCGGTATTCACAATAGCCAAAAGGTGGAAGCAACCCAAGTGTCCATCAACGGATGAATGATGCACTCAATGTGGTCTATCCATACAATGGAATATCTGTCAGCCTTAAAAAATACATGCTACAACACGGATGAACCTCCAGGATATTACATTCAGCAAAATAAGCCAGTCACAGAAAGACAAATATTGTATAACTCTTTTTACATGAGGTCCTTGGATGAGTCAAATTCACAGTCAAGACAGTAGAATGGTGGATGCCAAGGGCTGAGGGAGGGGGATGGGGAGTGAGTGTTTAATGGGGACAGAGTTTCAGTTTTGCAAGGTGAAAAGAGTCCTGGAGATGGATGGTGGTGACGGTGGCATGACATTGTGGATGTATTTAATGCCACTGAACTGTGCACTTAGAAATGGCTAAGATCCTCATAGTAACCATAACACAAAAACTTATGGGACACACACTAAAAATAAATATCAAGAAATCAAAATAAGTCAGGCACAGAAAGACAAATACCGCATGGTCTTTTGTAGAAAGTAGATAGTAGAATAATGGTTACCAGAGGCTGGGAGGGGAGAGGGTGCGTAGGGGAGGAGAAAGTTTGGACTAACGGGTACAAAGCTGTGCTGTCCACTCTAAGTGAATCATTCTGCAGTCTATGCATGTATTGAAACAACACACTGTACCCCACAAAAATAAACATAAATGAAATTGGAAAAAACATGGCTAAGACAGTAAATTTTATAATGTGTATTTTAACACACAAAAAAGGCAGGGGGGGGAAGAGGTGGGTGTCTTTATGGAGAAAAGTCTGAGACCTGAACAGCTGGGACAGGTGGCTGGCTCCAGGTGTCTCTGATGAATCGGGGCACACCCTGTGGCGAGTGGCAGCGCCCAGCAGCGTATAGCCATGTGAGAGCTGAGGCTGAGGAGAGAATCACCAGGCTTCTAGTGACCCGAAGGCCGAGGGGTAAGAAGACCCTGATATTTGTCAAGGGACTCTCACTCACACCAATGCCCGTTGGAGCCTGGGTAGTGGGAAGAAGGAAAGAACCAGAGGCCAAAGGACTCAGGAGAACACCACGCCTGTTCATGTCCTGAATACGAACTGTCAGTTGAAATGAACATTCATCAGGTTTAGAAGGACGGAAGAATCTAGATTTTGAGAACTTTACAAATCCTACTGTCACCAAAGACCCTCACACCAGAACCTGCAGTTGGGGGGAAGATTACAGTGAGTAGCCAGGCAATGGACTGTGCCAGAACACCATCTGTGTACCCACCCCCACCCCCACCCATTCATCCATCAATGGATCCGTGGGTCTACTGATCAACCCAACCATCCACACACGAATCCATCCATCCATCTGCCCACCCAGGAACCTACCCATTCATTTATCCACTTACCCATGAATCTGCCCACCCAGGAACCTACCCATTCATTTATCCACTTACCCATGAATCTACCCATCCATCAATCCATCCATCCACCCATCCATCTATACACCCATGAATCTACTCATCCATCCATCCATCCATCCATCCATCCACCCATCCATCTATACACCCATGAATCTATTCATCTATCCATCCATCCATCCATCCATCCATCCATCCATCCATCCATCCATCCATCCATCCATCCATCCATCCATCCACCCACCCACCCATCCATCTATCCATCCATCCATCCACGTATCCACCCATCCATCCATCCATCCACGTATCCACCCACCCATCCACGTATCCGCCCATCCATCCATCCATCCATCCATCCACGTATCCACCCACCCATCCACGTATCCACCCACCCATCCATCCACCCACCTACCTTTCCACCCTCCCACCTATTCGCCCATCCATCCACCCATCCATCCATAAATCTACCCATTTGTTCAGCCACCTATGCATGAATGTACCCATCTACCAATGAATCCATCCACCATATCCATCCATATACCCATGATTCTATTCATCCATCTAACCACCGACCCATCCACCCATCTGTCATCCACCCACCCACCCACCTGCCTTTCAGTCTTTCCTGAACAAGTGCTTCACTTTGCTACCCAAAATCATATCTCCTTCTGGCTAATGGAGCAAGTTTGGCAAATGCCAAAGTCCATATCCACCCTGCCCCTGAGACCCCCACCCCTACAAAATCAGGAACCTTATCACAACCAGGAAACAGGCTGGGCCGTCCTTGCCTGCTGCTGGGAAACCTCCATCAGACGGTTCTACAGCCTGTTATGTGCACTTGCTTTAGCGGCGCTACCCCCGTCCCCATCCATGTTTCTTACCTCAACCTGTGGCTCAGACCTTCAATCACAGACTTGAAATGACCCTCACTTCCCCATGACTTCGGCCCCGCGCACCCACCTGTGGGGACACCCCGGATGCCAACTCACCCTCTCACGATGCCGCTCTCCAGGTAGTTGACTTGGATGAACTTCCCAAATCGACTGGAGTTATTGTTGTGGGCCGTTTTGGCATTTCCGAAAGCCTGCAAGGAAAACAAAAGCAGGTTTTCAGATCCCGAGGATGGAGTTTCTACCGGCCTCCACGCTGCTTCCTCTGGGTGACAGAGACACTTGCTCATCCCCAAGAGCTGGCTCTAAGTCACTCAGAGGCCCAGATAAGAAGCAGAAAACACTGAGGGTGTGCGGCCAGGCTCAGTCTGACATATTCTTCTTTATCTCTGTGTCTGGGCTTGTGTGAGGTGCTCAAGTTTTTTTTTTTTTTGTCTTTTTTTTTTTCCGTGTCCGGCAACGGATCGCAACCCTCAGTGTCGCCCCCGCACCAGACCGGGACCGGCAACGGGATCGCAACCCTCGGCGTCGCTCCCGCGCCTCGCTCAGCCAGTGAGCGGGAACCGGTCTGTATGTGGGATCCGAACCCTCGGCGGGAGTGCCACCGCGCTTCCCAAGCGGCGCACTATAGCAGTGCGCCACCGGGCCGGCCCAAGGTGCTCAAGTTTTAAGTCCTTGACACTAAAAATGCCAATCATTAAAAAAAACAAAAATTGGGGGCTTGCCAGTTACCTCAGTTGGTTAGAGCGTGGTGCTGATAACACCAAGGTCAAGGGTTCAGATCCCCATACACCAGCTGGCAAAAAAAAAAAAAAAAAGCCAATCATCATAATTCTTTTTCAGTTACAACCATCCAGCTGATATAACAAACCATGGCCCGCAGGCCAAATCCAGTCTGCTGCCTATTTTTGTACTGCCCAAGAGTCAAGAATGGTTTTTACATTGGTAAATGGTTTTTTTTAAAAAAACCAAAACCCAAAGAAGAATATTTTCTGACACATGAAAATCCCATTTGCATTTTGGTGTCCATAAGTGAAGTTTTTTTTTTAAAAGATGACTGGTAAGGGGATCTTAATCCTTGACTTGGTGTGGTCAGCACCACGCTCACCCAATGAGCCAACCGGCCATCCCTATATAGGATCTGAACCTAGGGCCTTGGTGTTATCAGTACCACACTCTCCCGAGTGAGCCATGGGCTGGCCCATAAGTGAAGTTTTATTGGCACACAACCAGGCCCGTTCAGGTTCCCAGATGCCCCCTTCCTATGAAGGACCCACAGCCCCAGAAGGGTTAAGACACAGGGACAAGATACGATGGAGCCTAGCGGGGAGCCTGGGGTAGGACAGATAAGCCAGAGGAAGTGGAAGTGGGGGTAGGGGGTGCTTTCCTTGTGCCAGGGAGAGGAGACCAGGTGAGGCTGGTGGGGTGGGGGGCATGGGGCCCAGCAGGTGAGGGGAGAGGAGGCAGAGCTGGGCCCGGGGCCTGGTGGTCAGTTGTCCAAGCCCTTGTGGCCCCAGGGGCCAGGGAAGGGGTGACGTGAGGGAGGGATGACACCTGGAGGCACGCACAGAAAGGGAAGCTCGGTGACTGTGATGCTCCTGTTTGAGCCATACGGGGGAGAACGGGAGGAAGCAGGTATGCAGTGGGGAGGGGTGGCAAGGCCACTGCCAAGGTCCCATTGTGGAGGGTGAGGGTGGAGTGAGAGGGCTGGGGTGGGGGAGGTGGCCAAGCACACAGGGGAATCAGAAGCTGGGAGGCACTGAGAGGAGACAGGATGTTCTGGAAGGCCTTGTTCCACAGTGGGACGGGCATCAGTTGTTATGAACTCAATGTTTGTGTCTTCCCAATCTTATATTGAGATCCTGACCTCCAAAGTGATGGTATCAGAGGTGGGGCTCTGGGAGCTGATTAGGTCATGAGAGTGGAGCCCTCATGAGTGGGATTAGTGCCCTTATACAAGGGACCCCAGAAAGCTCCCTTGCCCTTTGGCCATGTGAGAACACAGCAAGAAGACACCATCTATAAATCAGGACAAGAACCCTCACTAGACACCGAATCTGCCAGAATTTTGTTCTTGGATGTCCGGACCCCATAACTGTGAGAAATATACGTTGTTTATAGGCTACTCAGTCTGCAGTATTTTCTGACAGGAGTTCGAACGGACTCAGACACTGGTGGGTCACCCACTGGAGGATTTTGTGTGGCAGCCTGAAGGGAGAAGTCCCATAAAAGGCATCTGAGCCGGGGACTGACTCCTGGCCAGTGGCCATTCTGCCAGCCGCTGTCCACCCTTTGTGCGACCCACTCTCTGAGTGTCCGTGGAGGCCGGCGTGGTGTCCTTGGACTCAGAGCTCCGTTTCTGGCTCGGAGCAAAGCCTGTGAGTGCCTGAGCCACTGGCTCCTCATTTCCCTGGAGGCTCCTGAGACCCCGCCGGGCCGTGGTCTGGAGCTCCTGCAGGAAACTGTGCCTTGTCCCGCCACCTTCTCCCTGCTCCATGAAGAACCCAGCACGAGGCCTGGCCCTTTGTGCTGAGACTCGAGGAAGCCACCTGCATGGCCTGATGACCAGGCTTGGTCTCCCCATCAGCCTCAGCTCAGAGAGGTTTGTGAAGTGGGCCCCAAATAACCCCTCCCCCACCCTAACTACAAGCAGATGGTGAAGGATGCCTGTCCCTGCAGTGGGGCTCTCCCTGTCAGCGGCACTGGGGTGTCTGCAGCAGGAAACAGGCCTCTGTCTGGGCTGGGGTCCCTGCAGTGGCCTGTTCCAGAGAGAGGATGTCCCGAAAACACACATCTGCACTCCAAAGAGCCACAGTGCTCACTTTTAAACTCAGGTGACAAGTCTCCCTGTGGACTTCTAACATAACAGCCAAGCGTGGTGGCCTGGGGACATACAACAAGGAGCACCTTTGAGATGTGAGGGGCAGTAAGGCCTTGGGGGTGCCCTCCCCTCCTCCACCGGGTGCCCACCCCAGGCTGGGTTTCTGGTTCTGCGATTACCAGGCCTGGTGACCTCATGCGTCTGGTATGCAGTCTCAGCACACTGCGACTTTTCAAAGCCTATCTAAAAATATCCGGTTGGTGCTATTATACATCCGAGGAGGAAATGCAGCCTGGCGCACGCAGCGAGGGGTGCTATTCTGTTGCTGCTTGGCTGGCCTGGCTGGGGGCTCACATGGTCCCAAAGCACAAGGGCCGTTGGTGTGCCTGGCAGATCATGTGGGGCCAGGGGTGGACGGGAGGGAGGGAGGAAGTAGGACCTGGGTACTGGCACTGATGCAATGTAATCTGGCTCAGAGACTGCAAAGGCCATATACTAATGCCTTCATCCCCCAGCCAGAGAACCCACAGCCCTGGCAAAAACAGTGCGAGTGGGGCCTCCGCTTTCACCAGGACACATTTTTTTCTCTTTTATAATATAAAAGACATGTTTCTAATGTAAGTTGTACACTTTGGGAAAAAAGATAACCTCACTAGATCTGGCAATCACACTGCTGGGTATATATCCAAAGGACAGGAAAATATGAAATCAGTATGTTGAAGAGATACCTGCATCTCCATGTTCACTGTGGCACTACTCAAAATAGCCAAGATATGGAATTGACCCGTGTCCATCAACAGATGAGTGGATAAAGAAAATGTGGTATATGTACACAATGGGATACTACTTACCCATGAAAAGGAAAATTCTGTCATTTGCAACAACACGGATGAACCTGGAGGATATATGTTAAGTGAAATAAGCCAGGCACAGAAAGACAAATACTGCACTGTCTCACTTACAGGCGGAATTTTAAAAAGCTGAACTCGGCTGGCTAGTTAGCTCAGTTGGTTAGAGTACAACTTTATAACACTAAGGTCACAGGTTCGGATCCCTATGCTGGCCAGCTGCCAAAAAGGAAAAAGATGAACTCACAGAAGCAGAGACTGAAATGGCGGTTATCAGAGGCTGGGGGTGGAGGCAGAGAACGGGGAGATGTTGGTCGAAGGGTACAAAATTTCATTTCGACCGGAGGAGTAAGTTCAAGAGATTATCATACAAGATAACAACCACACGTAATCACAATGTCTTGTATGCTTGAAAAACGCTGAGAATAGATTAATGGTAAGCACGTGAGGTCATGTATATGTTAACCAGTTTGACGTAGCCATTCCACAAAGTATATGTATTTCAAAACGACATGCTGTACATGATAAATATATATGATTTTTACGTCAATTAAAAAAACTAAAAAAAAAAAAAATACAACTTCACCTAAAGTTTATATAAAAGAAGGAAAAAAAAACCCATAAAGCAATCACCCCATAAATCAACCCTCCCAATTACAGTTTTTAGGTAAAACTACTGAAAAAGCAGCCCCACCCCTTCCTGTGACAGGGAGGACCAGGCCTGGGGCGCTGAGAGACGCTGTGTGCCTGCCAGGGGTGCTGAGAGCCAGAGGACTTCCAGCCGCCTTCCAACTGTCTTTGAGGTTCTTCTTCTGGGTGATTTAAGATGGTTTCTTGAACTGGTTAGAGGACAGTAAGGAAAACTTTATTCAGGACCATTGGGACAGGTATAGGGACCACTGCAATGGGGTCTTGCAGTGGGGGAGAGTGACTGGGCTCACCTCCAAATACAGCATGGGCAAGTGGGAATTTATAGCCAAGTAGCAAGGTGGGGTCAGTGGATGGAAAATTACTAAAAGGAAGCATCAAGGGTAAGGGGGATTCTGGCTAAACTGACCTGACAGGATTCTTGCTGAAGACAGGCCAGGGTGATCAGACATCGCCTGGGGGATGGTGGGGGAGGATGAACCTGATCAGATCTCCAGGATGATCAGATATCAAGGATGGAGGGTACTTGCTAAACTGACTTGGCAGGGCCTTTGCTAAGACAGGATTTTACAAATAAGTCCACAGATGGGCGTGGCAGAAGGTTCAGGAGCCTGACTAGTTTGGTTGAGTGAGCATCTTTGTCAGGAGACATTACAGGGTTGACCATCCCACGAAGGCAAAAATTATAGAAGTACATTTTCTATCTAAAAGGATGGCTCTTTTCTCGGTTGAAATGCCTGCCAACATTTTAGGAATAATGGTGACAATACCACATCATGACCTGTGGTGGGTGCCAGCCCACTCTGGGTACATGCTGTGGGATTTGAGACTCTCATTAGCTTGCATTCCTCTAACAGACAGTCTTTCCATCTCCATT